CGCGGACGGGCTTTGTCGTCGCGTCGGCGTCTCACGACCGTCGTCGCGTCGTCGTCCGCGGCGTCGAGAGACGCGTTTCTCCGTTTCTCGAGAGATTTTGACCAGTCATGACTCATCGTTTCGCCACGGCGCCACGTCGACGACATATGAACACCCGCGTGTACCGGAAACAGCGACGGGCTGGTCGTCGTCGTCCCGGTCCGTCGTTTTCGACGCCGCTCCTCGACGCATGTCGACCTCGACGCCGACCTCGACGTCGCGCGCGCACGGTGGTGGCGTTGTGCGCGCGCGATGGCGATCGCGCTCGTCTCGCGTTGAGCGTCGAGTTGGCACCAACGCTGCGAGCGCGGATGAATCGGAATTTGAAAATGACCAACTAGAGTCAAAGAAGACGCTGGTGGTGATCGAGTGCGATGGCGCGGTCGTCGACGTGCATGGAGACGGACACAGAGTGGCGTTTAATCGAGCGTTTGCGTCGAAGGGGTTGAACGGGGTGACCTGGGATCACGCCGAGTACGCGTCGTTATTGAGAAGCGGAGGCGGGACGCCGTACGGAATGTGCGAGCGGTACTTTACCTTTTATGGCTACCCGTCCGCGGTCTCTCCGGCGACGAAACGCAAGATTGAGAACGATGAGTATATGCAGGCTATGAAGCGGTTGCAAGAGATTGTTCCGCTGGCCACGGACGAGATGGATTCCGAGGACGACTCTGAGGAGGGACGCGCAAGCGCTGAGGACGAAAAGCGAATGAGGGAAATTTTCCTGCGAGATTTGATCAAGGAGAAGGATAATCAATTCGGTCTTATGATCGATGAGCATGCACTCAAGATTCGAAGCGGTGTGGAGCGATTCTTGGATGATTGCATTCGAGAGAATGACAAGATCCAGGTTCTGCTCGTGTCGGAAACCGGCAGCAATCCGTCAGAAAGGGTCTTGGACGCGGCGATGCACAAGCTGGGCGAGCTTCGCGCGGCAGGAATCTCCGTGATGAACGCATCCGATCTCGCTGCACCATCGTCGATGTCGCAGGCGATCCAAAAGCAAAAGGGTGATTTACTTGCACCTGAGATCGGTGGCGACTTGCAGCGCCAAAATTTGAACTCGGACGTCATCATCGACGCCGGCATGTTCTCTTCCAGTCTTCGATCGGTGCTCACGGCGGAAACTATCACCGAGCTCGCTGTCTCGCGCGGATTCGATCCGAAAAACGTCATATTTATCGGCGGTGCACTTTCAACATGCTCGGCGGCGTCGTCGGCTGGATGTTTTTCTGTCATGGTGCGAACGCAGCTGCATCGAGGTGGTGAGTTCCCCGGCGTTGACTCCGTCGTCGACGGCTACGGCGCGGGCGAGGGAATCACGCTTCGTCGAATCCTTGCCATCAGCGGCTCTAGATCTCGCTGAGGAGACTGTATCATATCGGCATTGTAAAACTACCACCTTGCTAATTTTCAGTCGGGACAGCCCTGTCAGCCCTACATCTGACGTCACACATCGCCGTCTTCGCGAAATCACGCGCGATCATGTCTGCGCAGGCGCGCAACGTCGACGCGCACACGCGCGCGCTCGTCGAACCTAGCACCGCGGTCATCCTCGCCAGCACGAGCGATCCGCGCGAGGATTTAGCTCGAGAGCGCTCCAAGGCGAGTTTCGACGCCCGCGAGCTCGAAAACTTACTCGCGGGCGGACCCAAGAGCGCGTCGCTGCGACGACGAATCGTGGACGCGATGACGAGCAACGAGGTGTTCAGTAAGCGCGGGAAGTACTTCGACGAGCGGGACGAACTATACGTGCGAACGCTCAAGATGTACCTGGCGCTCCCGAGCGCGGTGGCGGCGATGAATGAAAAGGAGCCTATAGCCGTGGCGCGCATCATGCGAGAGTTGATCGATGAACCGGGAGGATTAGATTTGCACCTTGGGATGTTTATTCCGACGATTCAGGGGCAGGGAGACGAAGAGCAGCGGAAATATTGGATTCCAAAGTGCGTCAAGTTGGAGTGCATAGGAACGTACGCGCAGACGGAGCTGGGACACGGAACGTATCTGCGAGGCTTAGAGACGACGGCAACATACGATGAGAGCAAGGAGGAGTTCGTGATTCACTCACCGACGTTGACGAGTACGAAATGGTGGCCCGGTGGTTTGGGGAAGACGTCCACGCACGCGGTTGTCATGGCTCGATTGTTCACGAAAGGTGTGGACCACGGGGTTCATCCGTTCGTTGTTCAAATTCGCAACAATCAAAACCATGAGCCGCTCCCGGGATGTACCATCGGAGACATCGGTAATAAGATGGGCTACAACGCGGTCGATAATGGGTTCTTACGATTCGATCATGTTCGCGTTCCACGACGAGCGATGTTGATGGGTCACTCTCGGGTAGAAACGGATGGGACATACGTGCCGCCGCCTGTGGCAAAAGTGTCCTACGGGACGATGGTTTTCATTCGATCCGATATCGTGATGAACGCAGCGCTTTTCATGAAGAAGGCGGTGACAATTGCAATTCGCTACAACTTGGTTCGAAGGCAATCGAACGCCGATAAAGCGACTGGGATGGAGCGCCAAGTGATCGATTACCAACACAGTCAACGGACGCTGTTTCCAATTCTCGCAATGGCTTTCGCGTTTCACTGCACGTCAGATTACATGCGACGTATGTACTTTGAGTTTCAAAAAGTTTCTCGCGAAAAACAGGATTTCTCCGCGCTTCCGGAGCTTCACGCCACGTCCAGTGGTCTTAAGGCGTATTGTTCGTGGATGACGAAGGATGCGATTGAGGCTTGTCGATTAACGTGTGGAGGTCACGGTTACATGAACTTGGCAGGTTTCGGTACCACGCTCGCGAGTTACGCTCCAAACGTGACTTACGAAGGCGATAACAACGTGCTATGCTTACAAACGGCGCGGTATCTCCTGAAGATGTACCGAAACACAATTAAAGGCGAGACGCCACCAGATGTCATTGGTTATCTCAAGGGAACGAGTTCCCGAAGTTCTCTCGCACTCGGCTCGACTATGCGCGATGAAAACGCGATTCTCGATGCCTATGCGCACCGAGCGTGGCGCATGGTGACAGAAGCTTCAAAGGTGACCGGAGATATGTCGCCTGACGACGCCATGCGCGTTCACATGGTGCAGTGGATTCGCGCGGCGAAGGCTCACTGTGCGTTCGTCGTCATGTACAACTTTGTGATCGCGTACGAAGAAACCAGGCCTCGGGTGAGCGCTACGACACTGTTGGTGCTTCATCGTCTCGTGTGCCTTCACGGTTTATGCGGCATGGATGATACCATGGGTGACTTCTTGGAGGATGGTTACATCGATGGTGATCAGGCGACGGAAATACGAGCTGAAATCTTCAGACTTCTCGCTGAGATTAGACCAGATGCCGCTGCTTTAGTCGATTCTTTCGGACTTAGTGATTACTTCTTAAACTCGGCGCTCGGGGCGAAGGATGGTGACGTGTATCGAAGGCTTTATGAACAAGTTCAAGACGCGCCATTCAACAAGCGTCACACGCCGCCGGGATACGAACTTCTGCAGCCAAAGTTGAGGCGTGGAACTTTTGGCGTCTCCAGGCTCTGATCGAGACGCGCGTTTGATTCATCTGACGTTGTCGGTAAAAGTACAACAAAACTACTTGTAGTGTTAGCCACTAACTACTGCGTGCGCTTCAGCGGCACCTAGTGAAGCCTTGAGATCGGACACGTCGTTCAAGCCACTGTAAGGCACCTCGTCGAACGTATTATAAACCGCGTACAAATCATCATCAGATTTCACTTGAACGTATCGATGCGGTGTAATGTGTTTGTTTCCGCTGATGAAGCTTCCCGCCGGAATCTTTGTGAGTTCGAACACGTCCAGCGCCTCGCACTTCTTTGGGTTGAAACCCGATCCTTCCTGCGCGTGTAAAATGACGACCCCGCCTTCGGTTCCCCGTCCTCGGTATATTGTCAAACTGCTCTCACTGTCGACCGCGGCGAAGACGGATTCTCTCTGCGGAGTCACCGTTGCAAAGGCCCACTTCCCGCGCAGTTCGTCCAGAAATGACGTCCCGAACGTCGACCTCATCTGCGACACCACGTGCGCCGGGTTCGCGTCGCTCGGCAGATCCACCTCCCGCGCCATTTCTTCCAAGTTCTCCAGTTCCCCGATGAACACCGTGACCGTCCCGGTGTCCTCGCACTCGTGCGTCCGCGCCTTCGCCTCGGCGCTCAGAAAACCCGCGAGTCCGAGATCTTTCACCACGTCGCAGCCCAGCTCCTTCGTCGCCACCTGCTCTGATCGCGCGCGACACCGCCCAGCGGTCGCCCCCACCACGCGTTTCTTCGCCCCCACGAAGCACACGAACGACGCGTCCGCCATCGCCCCGCTCGCTCTCGCGCGTCGCTCCAAGCGCTGACTCGGCAGAACGCGCGCTCGAGCGTCACCACCGGCGTCGACGCGTCCGCTCGCCGCGGCGTCCCGCTCCACCGACGTCGCGGCCGACGCGACTTTCCGGCCTCGTCCGCCGCGCTCGCCGTCGCCGTCGCGGCGCCGTCGTCCACCGTCGCGCGTCGACGCGTCCGTCGTCCACCGTCGCCGCAGAGTGTCGCTCGTTTCTTCTCATCCACCGCGCGTTCTCGTTCAGTGGGCGCGTCGCACGGGCGCCCGGACGCGCTCGAGCGCGAACGGGACGCGCGGCGAACGCGCGGTCGTCGCGCGGATGTTCGACGAGCTCTCGAACGACGCGATCGCGCTGACGATTGCGTGCGCGGTGGCGGTGGGACGATTGTTCGGCGAATGCGCGAGAGCGAGGCGGTACGGGCCGGGTGGGACGCGAACGCGGCGGCGCGAGGGAGGCGTTGGAGATGCGTGGAGCGAGGCGCGCGAACGCGAGGCGTTCGAGCGTCGAGGTCGAGCGCCGGGAGGGAAGCGACTGCTCGCGCAGGCGGCGGCGTTGGTCGTCATCGGTGGGAGCGTCGTCTTCGCCGCGCTCGAGGTGTCGATGCCGAAGCGAGCGAGGATGGCGAGGAGAGATTACGCCTCCGCGCTCGATCGGGCGAACTCGGCGCTCGAGCGAAAAGTCTCGGTGCGCGTGTGGGGGGACTTCGAGGGGGCGGAGGGGGTGGTGAGAGAGGTGAGTGATAGACTGCGGGACGTCGCGGTGAATTTTGAAGTCGTCGTTCCGGGTTCGTCGACGTGCGCTGGGGGGAGGCGGGAACCGTGGAGCGCGACGGCTTTGACGGCTTCAGACGAGTTCGTGGAGGAATGGATCGACGAGGAGTCGTGCGGTGGGGCTGAGAATTCAAGGTATGACTTTGTGTTGCTCGCGGGCAACGTCTCGAACGCAGATTTGGTGCTCGGAAGGCACCGCGCCGCGTGGTTGAGATTTGACTCTAAAATGCCGGCGACGCGACGCGCGGATGAACTCGAGGCGAGACTCCGCGCGTTTGTAGCGCACTTCTCATCCGCATCGGAGAGGGCGAGTGTGTCACCGTTTCTCACCACCTCGGATGGCGTCCTACTCGCGTCATTTAGTTTAGTCAACGCCGAACCGAGGGCAGGATACGCATTTACATGGGACTTTGAACGCGACGTCGAGCAACCGCGGCTCGGAGCGCTTCCGAACGCGTTGCGTCGCGTCATTGATTTGCGCATCGAGTCACAAGTTTTGCGTCATGCAACGAGTAGAATCAGACCGACATGGTCGGCGACGCACGATGGATTCGTAGTGAAGTCGGAGCAATTGCCTTTCTTCATTGATCCAGATTGGCCCATTGACACCTCCATCACGTACACGCCAGTGGACGGCCGTCCGTTACAGTTCGTCGTGTATGTTCCATCGGCTGCTGAGTGTCCACTGTACTTTCTCGACGAGAATGGAGAGGCAACCGAGCAAAATGCGTATCTGGTCGAAGGTTGGGGTGGAGTTGTCGTCTTCAACCCGCGAGGATGTGCGGTCGTGCCTGGCGAAAGCGAGAGGCGTTTGAGCGAGGATGAAATTTCCAATGTCGTGAACGCCTTTGTGCGCCAGCTTAGGATTCATTTGGGGCTCAGAGAGAGGCCGCAAAACATTGATGCCACCGTTTTGCCTCCAAAACTCACGGGATTCGCGACATGGGAGGTCGACTCACTCGTGCACACGAGGCTGGTGTCCGACTCAAGCTCAGCGATTTCGACGTTGAAATCCCTCGATGAGGTCATCTCGAGCATTGACGACATCGCCGTGCCAGAGTTCATCGTGAACGAAATGTCTAGGTCTTTCGGAGCTCTTGAGCGAGCGACTCGCCTTTCTGAGATATCTAGGTACGATGAGGCTTTGGTGAACGCTCAAGTCGCGCACGCTGCGGCTGAAGCGGCGTTCTTCGATCCCTTCTCCCTCGGCGGTCTTGAATCCTTTTCTTTTGAGTCTAAGATGGCGTCAGTGATACCATTGTTACTCCCTTGCGTTTTCCCCTTGCTTTTGCAGATCATCCGCGAGGCGCGTCACTTCCAAGTCAGGCGACGATGCGCGAGTGAAGCGCGTGCGCGAAAGGCGAAAGCGTCATAGTTCAGTAGCCTTTAGTTTTAGTGTGACATATTAAAATTAACAATCTCTAGCGAGGACAGGCTACGGCAACTACTTTACGGCTTCCATTGCTTCATCAGCTTGCTCTCGATCTCCGAGAGCTCTTTGGTGTAGAAGACGCCGCACTCGTTTACGCATTTTTCCATCTGCGCCTGAGCTGCCTCCTCTCCCTTCTTCTCCACCACGCCGTGCGCCTTATCCGCGCACGTCTGCGCGCATCGCTGCACCCTTCCCGAGAACTCGCCGAGCTCCACCGTGATCCCGCGCTCGGCCTGCGCTGTGGGCTGACCGGCGCGTTCGAGACAGGCGTGGAAATCTCTCTGCGGCTTGTTCCCATCGCAGCACTTCGCTGAGCTCTCAAACGCGCGCTTCTGTAACGGGCGGAACACCATGAGATCGAGTTGGTCTTGTAAGCGCGCGACGGCGCGTTGGAGCTCCTCCATGACGATCGCAGAGCGCGCCGATGTGAGGCGCAAGACGGCTTGAGGTAAACCTTTCGAGCGACGGCGAGGGCGAACGACGACGAGAGACACGCGATGCGTCGTTGCGCAGACGATACACACACTAATCTAATGTACTGATGAAAACGTCTACATCGCACGACGCCATGCGGTGACGATCATTGAATCAAGCCAATTGACACATCGTGTTGTCAGAGTTCCCGCACGGGAGTCGTCGCCACACCCGCACTGTTCGATGCGGAGACAAAATCCCAGGGTCTGAGTACTCCAGCTTATCTCCAGGCGCGTCTATAGACGAGTAAAAGTTGCAGCATGGCATCGCAATGCACGCGGCGGTGCCATCATCGCTGGAAATGCTCGCAAGCGTCGTCGCTAAGGGCACGTGAGCATGGACGCAGACCACGACGACTCTCTTCGTCGAGATCTTCATCTCCTCAATTTTCGCGCGGTGGTGCTGCAGACGAGCGATGTCGTACGTGGTTTTTGAGTCTTTTGACTTGCCCATCTCCGGATCGACGGCGATGCAGTGCCATCGAGTCCTGAAGGCAAACAGTCCTGCCGTTCTCGGCGTACACCCGTCGCCAACAGAGAGCAACGTTATACTCTCGTCATTTGCATCAAATTCACCGCTCAGGTGCGTGCGCCACGCGTTGAACGCTCCGAAGCTCTCACTTAGTTCCTTGGCGTCGGGAAAGAGCTTGCACTCCAACAGATCCACAGCGCAGGACAACTGTATGAACTCGGTAAAGTACCGACTAGAGACGCCATCGTTTGCCACAACCATGCGAGATCGATTCGGGTCTTTCATTCCTTCTCTAAGCGCCTTGGCTACCTTTTTATTCGTGCGAAATCTTCCCTCGAGACTCTTGCTCTTCAGCTTCGCCGACGTGATGTTGTATCGGTTTGCGCGTTTCACCAACCCGCCCGCGCGCCTCGCAAACTTTTCCCTCAAGTGCGTCCCCAATGCTGACATGAACGCGCTTCTCTCGATGAACGACTCTTTCCCTGGCTCTTTGTGCGCTCGCTTGAACGCCTCCAGAACGGCGTCGCGCTCGGTCCACTCATTCTCGGGCGCCAAGTCGAACGCCATGTCCCTCTCGAACCAGTTTACAAAATCGGCGCGTTCGTACGTCGTCGTCGACGCGTCCGCGGACGCTGCGGCGACGGAATCGCGTATGCGCTCGTCCAACGCGCTCTGTCTCTCCGCCCACTTCGGCGCGATCTCGATGCGCTCGACCACGGGGACGTTGGGTGACATGTGTAAAGAAAAGCGCAAAGCGCGCCGAGCTCTGCAGAGCAACCAACTAATGTTTTTATTGTTACAGCGCGAATCACATCTCGCCCTTATTCGGCGTGAACCGTTTTAACCACTCCTCGAGCTCGTCGCTATTGATCTCGAGCGTGCCATCGCCGTCTTCGGTGAGACATATCGAGCCGCGTGTGGCTTTGTCTTCGCCGCCGCCGTCGGCGCGCGCCTTCTCTGCTATGAAATCCTCCACGCTCCCAGGTTCACCGAACCATCCCATACGATCCGCCACAACGTGTTTCACTTGACATTCCGGACAGGTGACGATAACGACGCCTTTCTCGTACGCCTGTCGACTGAACCCGCGCGCCGCCCGCGCGTCGCACCGTCCACACGTAAACATCATGTACAGATCCTTTCTTGCGTTCGCGTTCTCGCGCGACGTCGAGGTATCGTCGGGCGGTGACGTCGACGCCGCACCACGCTCACCCGCATCCTCGGTGTCGGACGCGAACGAGCGCGGAGCGGAAAAGCAGAGACGTCGCTCAGCGTCGCCCCGAACTGTCGTTCGCTTCGAGTTGGAAAACGTCGCTCGAGCGACACCGATGTGAGGACTCGCACGCGACTCGGCGCGCGTGAACGCGCGCGCGATTGTGCAGAGGGTAGCGCGGAGACGACCGACGCGCATGACGAAAGCGAGGCGACGTGTGTGTCTATTAGAACGTTTTCTGGGTGGAAGCTAGCATCAGACGACGCGCGCTCTCTCGGCGACGCGACGATTGATTTCCATGGTTTCCTTCCACGTTTGCGTCGTGAGCTCCGTTTGACCGTAGTTAAGCGCGCGAAGTCGAGTCATGGTGAGCATCCTGTGCAAGCTCTCTTGCGTTATGGCTGCGTCCGCCTTGCGAGCTTCGACAATTTCGGCTTCGATTTCGACGGAAGTCTTCTCAGATATCACGTGCTTGGTCATTCGAGCCCCGGCGATGAAGGTGCGCATGAGCGTCAGTTCCTCTTCGGTGGCATCAATGAGCTTTGGATTGCGCACTCGTCGTAACGGCACGACCGAGTCGGTCGGAATAATGCTCTTCCTATCGGACAAGATGATGAGCGGAATGTCGACGGGCATTTGCATCTGGTGATACTCAAAATCATACTCGACGTCCTGAACAGTGGAGATCGCTTTCAGCGATTCAATATTCCGGACACCAATCTGCGTGAGCGTACCGGAGTCCAGCTTGGTTTCGTCCAATAGCAGCACCGTGCTCGCTGCCAGTTGCAGAGGACCGGCTCGCAGACGGTTGTACACGTAGTCCTTTCTAGGTGCCCAAGGGCGCGCGTTCAGAGACGGAACGGTCAAAGGAAGGTGCGCCACGCTCGGACACACGAGACCCAACACGCTCGAAAGAACGTGCGCTATTGTCCCCGCCTCCGAAGACTCCACTTTGCATCCCGTGAGATTGAGCGAAAATTTTCCCAGAGACAACAGATCCGTGCGAGTGTGCACTCGAGAAACCAAAGCCATTAACACCAACTCAGCGGCGAAATGGTCACCGCCGAGTGCGTTTGCAATCATATCCAACAACTTACCGCGTGCGATGGCGACCTTTTCCGGAGTCAAGCCGTGTGACGTCTCCAAATCAGTTGCAGTGAACCTCTCCACTGGTGACGAGTTTACGAATTTATTCTGGGACGTGACCTTGTACGCCAACGCATGAAAGCGTGGCACTAAGCTCGAAACGGGATTTTTCGAATTATCCTCTTCGATGAATGACGACGTGGCGTACACGTTGTCATCCTTCATCTCTTTATCGCGCTCGGCCGCCGTGAGCTCGGGCGAGTAATACAGCAAGCCGACGAACTCGACAACGTCGTTCAGTCTCAACGAATCGTCGTCGTCGTACACCTTCACTATGCACGGTGAACGAGTCTCTGGAACGAGTGGAAAGTTCAACAATTGGTCGATAGACTCCTCGCGAGCTTCACCTTCGCCAATCTGTTCCGGAGTGTCCGGTGCCATGTGATCCTCCGCGTTCGCCTTTTTTGTGCGTTCGAGATCTGGCCTAATCAACATCGCCGCGCTCCTCGGCGCCGGAGTCGCGTCCGGGCACACGTCCATACTCGTTTCTTCTCGTTCTCTCTTCTCACCGCGAGGACCTTCTTCGTCTGCCGTCTCGTCCACTCGTTCCGCCTCTCCCACCCACGGCTGCTCTCCTGGAACTGGTACGCAATACAAAACCCTTCGTTCAAACAGCGCCCGCTGCGCGATCGTCCCCTTCACGTCTATGTGCTCGCAATATTTCGTGGTTGTCCACTCGCTGTCGCCCTCTCGAACGTACGCGCCGATGTAATACTCTGGCTCGTACATGTCTTGCACCAGCGCCCTGAACCGCACGAGCTCGTTCTCTCTCGAGCGTTCGATCCCACCCGCGCCGTTGATCTCTCGCAGCGGTCGTCCGCTCGCGACGAGCCTCGAAACGATCGCCCGCACCCCATTGTCGCCGTCGCTCACGGCGTGCGACCCATCGTGCGTGGCGAGGGAGCGATGAAACGCGCTCTGGATGAATCCAAGCGGGTCGCGTTCGAGCGCGTCGATGTCTTCATCCGCGCCCATGGTCGCCATCGAAGCGTGCGCGGTGTTTCAACGAGTCCTCGGTTCGTGCGCGCGTGGCGAACGACGCGAGGCGCGATCGATGCGGGACGAAAAGACGATCGGTGTCGAGATTTCCGGGTTGAGGGTCTTTTTTAAATCTCTCATTCGCAGCTGTCAGACGGCTTGCGTGCGACGGTACGATTCGAGGCATCAGCGTTGAAATCTGACGGATACATTTGAATCAAATTCGGCTACGTGTGCTATGCGTTAACGTCGCGAGTGCGGGAGCGATGTGGCGTACGCCCAAGTGTCGCTCAGGAGCTGGAAGGTCCAGCGGAGTTCACGATTTCGGCACCGACGGCTTCGCTGACGAAATAGTTGGGAAACCTCTGGACGACGAGTTTAAGCTTTTTCTTCGCCTCGGGATTGTTGAAATGCCAAACGCATGGAGCTTTACCGGTATCTTTGTTGTACACTCGGCCGGTGACGGGATCACGAAGCATGTTTCTAAGATCGATTCCTCCTGGAGAGTGGAGGATGCCTCCGTCGGAGTCAATCTTGAATGATTTATCCCTCGCCGCCGCACGATTCATGGCGTACGCATTCAGACAGAGTTGATCGTCGTAGAATTTCGCCGCTATGTCCAAATCCCTGGCTTCCTCTTTCGTGTGATTGAACGGGGTGCACGCGTAACGAAAACGTGTATCCGTCTGCGACAAACCGTCGTTCTCGAAAAAACTCTTCTCAACGAAATCGATGTAGCGCAGAAGCGCGCTTTTTCGACCCATGAGCAAACCAGCATTAGCCCAGCGATACGGTCGCGCGAGCTCAGCACCGAGTGCAGCCTCTTTCACCTTTCCAATCTTGCCGATGTTATTCTTCACATTTTGCCAGTCTGTGTGCTCGCGCATATTGAAGTACTTCTTTATCTCCGGATAAAGCTGCGTCTCTCCGCTCGCGATGATATCCGCTCCGCTAGCTTCGAAACGCTTGAGAAGTTCTTCCTGTCCGCACGTGAAAAACACATCACCCGTGTCCGAGGTCACAACGACGGGATCGCCATTCATGTGCAATAAGTTTGTCTTTAGACCCATCGTTTTTTCCTCCCAGTTTCTCCACGTCGTGCCATGTCCCGATAATCTCGCGGGTAGTCCCCAGTGCGTGGCTGAGGCTAACCAGTGAGACGCGTGTTTCGAGATGTCCGTCGCGTGGCCGGTGACGATGACGACTCCGTCCTCGGAGTTTGGCGTCTCGTGTATGTTCACGTAACTGTTACCCTCCCAAAACGGAGCCGTCGCCCATTTCTTCAGGAACTTCGGCGCCCGCATTACGCGTCCATCGAACGATCGTTTCACCTCGATCGTCTCCTTATCTCCTCGTCGCTCGTTCTCCGTACCAGGTACTATGCGCAGGCGATCGATCAGCGTCGCCGTCGGGGACAACACCCCCGCGTGACCCAGTTGCACGAGCTTCGAGCTCGCGTCCCTCCCCGACGCGCTCTTGACGTGTCGTTCAGACGACATTAACCACTCCTTCCACGATCCCGTGCCCAACGCTCGTGCGCGTCGCTCCTCGTCGTGTGCGAATAAAAATCCAAACGCCGCGAGAATGACGAGCCCGGCGAACGCGGCCGAGATGCACGCCGTCCGTCTCAGCGCTCGTCCGCGGAACATCGTGGAAGCGGTACCATCTGACTCGTCGTCGCTATCGACGGTGACCTGGAGCAGCGGGCGCGCCTCGGGGGCGCGCATCGCGCCGAGACGAGCTGGTCACTTAATGAGGGTGTTGACAGGGCTTTTCGTTATTTTGATCGGTGCACAGAACCACCAGACGCACAGAGACGCGAGCTCGCGAAACGCGACGAACGCGACGACGAATCGACCGATCGACGCTCGGTTGTGATCACGATTAAAAGCCAAACATAGAGTATCCACCTTCGGTTTTTCCTATGGAGAAGTGCGCCTTGACCCACTTGGACGCCGCGTGCTCGGCGCGGTGACAGAGGACTCGGAGCGTGACGTCAGCGGTGTAGACGTCGTAGTAAAAGTCCCGATCGCTCTCGCGAGGGGGAACTTCTTTCTCTTTTTCGACCAACTCAAGGTACTGTCCACATAGATATTCCGTGGGTAGGCTCACGATAGTGCAGAGGGCAGACATCGGGGAGATGCGTGCGGCGACATCCACTGAGTCCAAACCTTGACCTCCGGCGAGGAAAAATTCAGACACGAGTTCCATCTCTTCCTCCAGTAACTCGACGTCCTCGGGACGGTACACTCGCCCAGGACCACCGTTCAGGAGCACTCGCATCCACGCCGAGACAGTGGCTTGGAGTAGGTGAGACGCCACAATATTTCTAGTGCTGCTGTCCACACGCACTGCGACGTAACCCAACACACCGTTCACGTAAGGTAGGATCTCCGTGCCAATGTTGTGTGCACTACGCTGCACGCCATGTGCGTACAAATTGTGCATCACGGCCCCCCCTAAGTCGCGATACAAGACACTGAACGCCATATGATTTGCCACTTGATCTATGGCTCTTCGAAGCGACTGTCGTGCCAAGTCCATCAAATCTTCAAACCAAGCCGCTTTAGGCACCTCGTGTAGCGCATTCGGGTGCCTCAACATTGACGCCACGCGCTGCATTTCATTCCACTTTGATATGATGCCCTTCTCGAGCGAGTCGAGCTTGTCGAGAAGAAATTTGAGTGACGTCAAACGCACTGTCGATGCGCCAACGCATCCTTCTTCGAACGGCGCTCTCGGTGGAGACGCCGCGACGAACTTTTTATGAAGATCGTCGACGATCGCCTTCTTATACCTAGTCAACTCTGGCACCGGTGGAACGATGTCATCGGCCGGACCAAGCGATAGAACAGCGGCGTTGGCGTATTTACCAACCGCAGCATCGATGCCCTCTGTCAATGCGCGAAGAGCGCTGACATGTGCCGGAATTCTCAAGCCAAAAAATCCATCCAAAGTCTCGTTCACGGCTCGTAGAAAATCCACCGCACTAGGTACAGGAGCGGCATCGTTTTTGGTTTTCCAACGTTCAACGGAGATGCATCTGTCCACTATCTTGTGCAAATCGTCAATCTTTTCATTCAACCATGTGAAAACGAGTATTGACGTTTGCTCTTCCAATCTAATCGGCTCGACCGCGTCACCTCCGGTGGCGACTAACGCATTTTGCAAGTCACCAACACTCCAAATAGTCTCCAGTGACTGCGCAGTCAGACGGGGTCCAGACGCTAACCACGAGAATAAATCATTTTTGAAATCCTCACCCAGTTGAGCGGCAAAACATCCCGTTACGGGCGAATTCGATCCCACAGAGCTCGTGATGTGGCGTTCGAGATGAGCGGAATACGAGTCCGCCGCGCTCGCAGTGAGCTGTGCAATTATTCGAAGGGAAGCGCTCGTGGCGTCTCCATCTGTTACGTTGTCTTCTTCCATGCCGGTGGCTCTGAGGCGCTTGTATTCCGCGCGTGCCGACTGTTTACACGCCTCCCTGAGTAGAGCCTCCGCATCCTTACCCAACATTTTCGCCGAATCGTATGCGATACAAACGATTAAATTGAACACGTCGGGTTCTATCCGCGGTACGTTCTGCTCGTCATGAGCAGCCGGAGGTGTCACAGTGTGCATAAAATCACGCAACATGAACATGCTCCAACACAGGAGCGAGTTCACGGCGGAAGCGATTTGTGGAGACACGTTCGTTTGCGAGCGATCCAAACCCTCTCTCGCCTTCGATAACAGAGAGAAAATTGGTGAAGTATCGTCTCCATAGTCCAAACCCACCTCTTCGAGCGCCACGATTGCCTGCTTCACTACAGCGAATGCAAGCATCGCACCTCTGGAAGTTTCATCTGGCAGTCCCAGCGAACTCGCAACTCTTTCTAAACTTTTGATAGAATCCTGCGCGTCATACGCAAGAGCATAGTCTTCCACTTGATCAAACATCACCCTCAAGAGACGCTCGTACAGTCTGATGCCGAAGATGCCCGAATAGCTGAAACTATATTTTGAATCGAGCGCGGACTCGATCATTTCAGCCACTGATTCGACCCACAGCGCGTCGATTTCTGGAAGACACAACATTCGATTAATCTCTGACAGAACGTTCGAGGCCGTGAGACTCGGCTCATTGTCATCTTGATCACGCGCATCCATGATCTCCACTTGCTCGTCGCACTGGCGACTCCATAACAGCTCGCACATCGCACGACATCTTTTCTTGTAAAACGCCTCGTCTTCGAGAAGTGTAAACTCTTTCACGGCGGCCAACATCGATCTCAAATGGATACGCGCCGAAATACCTTCCTCCGCGACGGAAGACTTATGTTCCTGCGCATACTTTTGAACCGCGTTCGCGCAGTCTTCGTCGACATCGAGCGCGATGCGAATCGCCTCCAGCATCTCGCTGTCCAAATCTATGGTCGCCACAATTTCAAACGCCAGCTCGCTCAGTTCGGCGTCATTGAGCTTAGAATACAATTCCGGAAGCGCGAGCTCGCCCGAGTACGCTGTCGTCGGCGCGTCATCGTCCAAGTTGAAAAACGTCGCGTCCACGCGAACTGCTGCGGCGCTCTCTCGCGCTGCCGAAGAAGTGTCCGCTTCTCCCACGCTCCCCAATTTCGTATTCGCAGCCATCGCTTCGAACGGATTCATCGATTTCGCGCGCTCCAAGCTCGCCGTCTCGTTCGCCTTCTCCGTCGCCGTTAGCTCTTTATTCCGCGCTCTTTGCTCCGTCTCCGCCGCCCCCCTCGCCGCCCCCGACGCGGTGAGAGCGCGCGATAAGTCGTACGTCTCGTTCCTTCGCAATCGTTCGATCATTCCCGGAACGTCCACGGCGCCGTAATTGACGTCATCGATCGTCGCGTTCGGTGGGAGCGTGAGAGATAATCGATGGGCGTCGAGAATGTAAGACAGCATCAGCGCGTTATCGCGCTCGAGGGCAACGAGACGTTCGAGGGGAACGACGGCGTCGTTGGGACCGTCCATGACGCGATGTCCCAACCTCGAGTGACGGGCGTCGCAGAGTTGGGGTCGACGGCGTGTCAGCGGCGCGTATTGGGACGTGCTGTCGGCGAGCTCGGTCGCCGTACTGTGATGAATACGAGCAAATACTACAAAAGTTTCGAGGGGAGACTAATCGAAATCAACGTTGGGATTGATGGCGAGCACGCGTTCTTCGAGCGCGCGCTGGCGCTCGCGAGCTCGGACGACGGTGGGATCGAGCTCCTCGTCGCCCTCGGTGAGCATCGGAGCCGGTTCCGCCTCCTGGATGACATTGAGAGTGCTCTCTCTGTTCACGAGATGGTTGATGATGTTCCGCACGAGCTTATATTCGGCTAAGAGTTGCTCTGGATCGGAGACACCCGATGGAACGACCTGCTCGTCGATGTACCAGCTGATCAAATCCTTTTGAACGATTCCCGTGTCTTCGCCGCCTTCCAGTTCCATCTCGCGTTCGCGCATGTGACGCAACAGGATGTGTTTAACCTGGTTGAACTTCTCGGCGCTCACCTTTGTTTTCTTCTTCTCTGGGACACGCCCCGGTTCAGCGGGCGCCATAGCATCATCTTCACTGGCGTTCGCCGCTTTATTGGCTTGCTCCTTCGCTTCACGCTCTTGCTCTTGACGCTTTGCGTGCAGACTGGCCAAGACTTGCTCGGGCAAAATGGGGCGGCTTTCATCGTTTTCCAGCTCCACATCATCCGCGTCTAAGACCACATCGCCAGCCTCAAGAGCGATGATGGACTCTGACAAAAGGCGTCTTGCTTCTCTGACGTGCTTCGGATGTACTTCGGCTCGACAATGCAAGCGCGCTAGCGCCTCGGAAAGACGGACAATCGCCTCGAGCTGACGAACGGTAATCCTGTACGCCGTCTGCGTCCCCGGTTGACTGTCACCCGTACGAAGCTTCACATAAGCGTTCACGATTTCTTTTTGCGCTTCCGGCGTCATTTGCGGCTTGATGGTGCGTGCGTACCGGATGTAGCGTTGGAGTTGCTCCAACGTGTAGTCGACATTAACGGCTGTTTCACGCTTTTGATGCAAGCTGACGATGTGTCGAGCCAGAGTGTAGTCGTGGAACTCATCTGGCTCATCTATCATCACGTGTACTAAATCGAAACGAGACAGAATCGCCGGGGGCAAGGCCAAGTTGTGCCTCAACTTTTTACTTCGGTCATACCGACCACCGTTCGGGTTGGCCGCAGCGAGAATACTTGTTCTCGCCTGCAATGAAGCTTGGACGCCAGCCTTAGCGATGCTGATAGTCTGCTGCTCCATCGCTTCGTGAATGGCGACTTGATCTTTCACATCCATCTTGTCGAACTCATCGATGCAGCAAATGCCGTTATCCGCAAGCATGAGTGCGCCAGCTTCGATGCAATATTCCCCAGTCTCGACATCCTTGGCAACCGTCGCCGTCAAACCAGCTGCGGAAGAGCTCTTCCCGGAGGTATACACCGCGCGTGGTAAAAACGACGAAACGTACTTCAAAAACTGGCTCTTTGCGCACGAAGGGTCTCCCACGATGAGCACGTTAATGTCGCCTCTCAAACCTTGTTTTGCCCCAGTGCTCTTGTGCACTCCACCGAATAACATGAGGGTGATGGCGCGCTTGATATCGCCGTGGCCATGCACCGTCGGGGCGATGGACTTTACGAACTTGTCGTACAAGTGAGGGTCCTGTGCCATCTGCGTGATCTCGCGTCGCTCTTGCGAAGACAAAGTTTCGACAACCTTCTTCTCTTCGTCGTCTCCTCGAATGTCCACGTCGCCACCACCGCCTGGATCGGCCGTGTTTACCACGCTCTGGGCGACGAAAACCATGCGATAGAAGAGCTCCCGACAGCCAAATTGGCGCAAACCCGAGACACCATCGCTTCGCCCCTTGACGGATGATTGAAGTTCGGTGCGATCACCGGCCATATTCTTCGGCGCCACCTCGGGAACGACGAGCAACGTGCCGGTGAAGATTGCCTTGTCTCCCGCTCTCGCCTCTTCTACGATTTCGTGCCGAAGGATCACGTCCATGCTTCGCGGTAATGATCCAGCGGGTACCTCGTCCGCGTTCTCTTGCACTCGCACTCGCTGCCAGTCCACAAACTTGCAACCCTCCCGCTCGAGCGTCCACTTTGTCCTGTTGCCGCAGGTCTCCAGGAGACAAATAGAAGGCTCGGTGTATCTGCACTGTTGCTCAACATTCGGTACCAACGTGTTGCACTCACCGCACTTGAAGCATCCCAACAGCAATTCCGGCCGCACTTCCGACGTGCGCGTCACTGTGCCGCTGAAGCTCGACAGTTGCCCGATGTTGTTCGCGCGAAGACTTCTCAGCCGCTCAACGCGAGGCAAGTTGACAAACTTGACCCAAAACTCCTTCTCTCTCGACTTTTCCACCCCTCCAGCGTAGCGCACCAGTTCTGGACGATGCTGTCGCACGAACACCTTCACCGCGTCATGCAAGAATGGCTGATACATGTAAAAGTTTGCCTGCACCGCCTCCACCGCCAACTCTGAGTCCTTTTGATTCAGGTGCTCAAAATCAACAGTCAGCGTCGTCTTGTTCTCCATCGCGTCCGAGAACAACTGCTCGACGTACACCAATCTCCTCGCTCGTCTCGCCTCGTCCCTGAACCCCGGACTCGCCAGCGGTCCATCGGCGTCGTCCGCGGCGTCGAACTCAAACTCATTCAAAAAGTTTAGAAACCTCCGTCTCACCTCATCCGCCCCCTGCACGTTCACGCTCATCGACGTCATCGTCCTCGCAACGCGCGATCACGTCCGAGTCCCACCGATCTCAACCGCTCCCCCCCCGCGCGCGTCGCTCGTGCGAACGACGCGACGATCACGTCGCGCGCGATCGTCCCACCGTCTCCTTCGACACACGTCGCCGTCGACGTCCGATGCCGTCCGCCGCTCGTTCGGTCCGCTATCGCGCGTTCGGCGTCCTCCCGCGCGCGCTCGCGCGAGGACGCCGTCGTCCCGGCGCGTCGTCGCGGCGCGTCGTCGCGCGCGCGACAGCTGCGATGTCGCGTTTCAAACAGCACACAGACACCCGCGTGTGTGAGACATAGCCATCGACACACCCGCGTGTGTGAGACACCCATCGACGCCCCCGACGCCGTCGCGTCGCCGCGCCGACGCCGCCGCCAGCGTCCATGGCCCCGCTCGATCCGTGCCGCGCGGTCCGTCGCGCGTGCGCCACCGTCGCGGTCGTCGCCTCGGACGTCGTCATCGATGACGACGCGATCGAACGATGGGCCATCGGCCTGGACGCGGCGGCGGTGACGCGATTGACGAGCGACGCGCGCGCGTTCGACGGCGATGGACACCACGGCGCGGCGTCGACGTCTGGGACGTGGAGCGATGAGACCACGGCGACGCACGCGTTGGTCGTGGACGCGATGAATTTTTGTTTCTGGCCGGATGGCGAGCGCGGGGAGACGCCGCGGTTGGAGTACGAATGCGTGAGCGCGGGGTGGCGCGACGCGGCGGAACGGGATCCGAGCGTGTTGGCGCCGGAGACGCTGCGGCGGATGACGGGAAGACGTTTGAGGGAAATTTTGAATTGGCCTCGAGAACTCCCGGATGAGGAAGAGCGAGCGAGGCTGATTCGGGAGGTTGGCGAGGGCTTGGCCGGGGAGGCGTCGACGATTGCGTTCATCGAGAGCGCGGGGAAATCGGCGGTGGAGCTCGTTCGGAAGGTGTGCGATCGATTCCCAGCGTTTGAGGATTATCGCACGTATCGAGGCGAGACAGTTTTTTATTACAAGCGAGCACAAATCTTCGTCGCCGATATCTGGGGCGCTTTCGGCGGTCGCGGAGTGGGAGAGTTTCACGACATTTCTGCGTTGACAATGTTTGCAGATTATAGAGTGCCAGTGACGCTGCGCGAACTAGGGGTGCTTAAATACTCGCCGAAATTGTTGCAGAAAGTTGTCAATCGGACGCTCATTCCGGAGGGTTCAGAGGAAGAGGTGGAGATTCGCGCGTGCACGGTCGAGGCGGTTGAGAGAATGCGCAGCGCATTTGAAAGACGACACGGCAAACCCGTGATGAGCGTCGTTTTGGACTGGCTACTGTGGGAGAAGGGCGAAGCGAGGCGCGAGATCTCGGAGGAGCCCCATCACAGGACGCTGACGAGGAATTACTAGAAGAAAGGTTGCGATGATAGAACGTAATGTGGAAAGTTAGTTATTTTTGGCAGAGAGCAACGACGTTGTCCATCTCGCGAGAGCGCGCGCGTCTCATCGTCGCGCGTGCGGCTGCCTCCATCGAAGCAGCGACATGTGCGCCACGAACGAGCGTCTGGTTGTCTCCACCTCGACCCTAAAGTGCTCGAATGATCCTGCAACGGACGTTTCGCCGCTGGCGTCTCTCGACGCCACGCTTAGCGAGCGCGCTCTACTCCAAATCGACCTAGCCATCGGCGCTGCCGCGGTCGCTAATGCGCGCATCGACGCCGCCGCGCACGAACGTGCGTTGCGTCTCGCGCACGACGTCCTGATCGAGCGCTTTCGCGCGTCCGTGGCCTCGGCACGCTCCGCCGCCGCCGCGCGCGTCCAAGCGCTGCGCGCCAACCTCTCTCACGCCCGCGCGCTCGCCCGCGCCGACGCCATAGCGCTCGACGCGCGAGGCGAGACCATGGAGCGCGAACGCTCGGACGTCGCGCGACGAGTCGAGCTCGAGCTCGAGCGCTCGCGAAAATTTTCGAGCCGCTGAGAAGAAGAAGCGTCACCTAGCGACGCGTCGACGCCTCGCCCGCGCTCGCCCGCGCGGTGTCGCTCGAGGCGACTCACGACGATGCGCGCGCTGTTTCCTGCGGGCGCTCGCGAGGAGGCGAAGGGGACGACGGACGCGCCGGGAGATGAAGACGCGTGGCTTCGATTGCGTTCGTTTCAGCGACGTGACGACGGCGCGGTGGACGCTGAGGGCGATGCGCGAAGGGCGTCGGGATCTTCTTCGTCCTCGTCGTCGTCTATAGAGCGCGAGCGCGAGCGCGAGCGCAGGCGGAAGCGCGAGCGGAAGAAGGAGAAGAAGAAGGATGGGAAGCGACGGCGACGCGACGACGACGACGCGCGGAAGATTGCGGAGATCGAGGAGCGGTACGGGAAGATGCGTAAAGATTCTCGAAGAGGGGACGATAAGATGTGGGCGACGAAGGAGCGGTTGAGCGGGGCGCGAGACGTGTACGAGGACGTGAGGCGTGACGCGGAAAATCTCGCGTTCGGGACGCTGGCTCGAGCGGACGGAGTGCGATTCAAGCGCGTCGCGGATCGAGCGAGGCCGTGGTACGAGCGTGCGGCGAGAACGCGTGAGAGTGAGTTCTACGGGTTGAAGATGAGGGGAAGGCACGAGCGACAAGATGAGACGATAAAGGATCGGTATTTCACTCGCTCGGCGAAAGCTCGCAGCAAGGATAGAAACGCACCATTGTTACGCAAGCCGCTCGTGCAGATTGAACGTGAGTGCGACGCCGAGACGGAGTACGTCAAGCTGAACGTCGATGACGATGACGCGGGTGCAGTTTCGCGGGCGCATCAAGGAGACATGGAAAGTGTGAGCGCGATTTTGATGCGCGAGACGAAGAAATTCAACGAGAGGACGCGAGAGACTCCAGAGGATATCAAGATGTGGATCGAATTCGCTAGATTTCAAGATAAGTTTATGGCGTTGACGAAGAGGAAAACAGAGGTGACGCAGTTGGTTGAGAAGAAAATTGCGATTCTAGAACAGGCGTTGCGACATCATCCACACGACGCGAATCTCATCATCATGTTACTTGCCGAGCGCGAAAAGGTGGAGGAAAGCATCACGATTGAGTCGCGCTGGCGTTACGCGTGCGAACAAAATTCTGGAAACCCTGCAATATGGCGTGCATTTATTCGTTATCGTCTGCGGGATTTCAGCAACTTTAGCGCTAGTGCCGTGCGGCGGGATTACGACAAGGCTCTGCGCTCGCTCGCCTCAGCGAGGAATCAGCTGCCGCAAGGAGCGAGTTCGGCACAAAAGAACACTCTCGAAGTCGCAATAGTGGATTTAGTCATCGATGCGTGTCGCTTCGACATACAGTCGGGCGCGACCGAACGCGCAGTGGCGAAGATTCAAGCCGTGCTTGAGTTCGGTTGCTTGTCTCCCGAGGATGGACGAGCAGAAGAGGATCTGTTGGACTTGTTTGAAAGTTTCTGGGAGTGCGGCGAGCCGCGGGTTGGTGAGCCGAATGCCACGGGATGGCGTGACTGGATCGCGCTGAACGCTCAAACTAAAGCTAACATACGCGACGTCAAGTCTGATGCTCGCAAGTTGGAGCATGAGAAGCAGGAGTCTCGTGAGGTCCCTCCTCCGCCTCCGCAAGCGCCACCACTCCCTCCAGGTGCTATCCTCGGAGGTGGTTGGGAGCACTTTGACGCGCCGAAAAGCGATGATACCGATACCGACCAAGACGTCGATGAGTTGGAAGAGGAACCAGACGCGGCCGCCTTGGCGCTTTGGGAAGAAAAACTTGACGCCGCGGCAGACATGGAGATCGATGATGAGATTCTCCTGCAGTTTGTACAGAAGGAGTGGGAAAGGAGTCGCAAGAACTGGAGGCCAGTGCGATTAGGCGACATCGATTCGGAAGAAGTTGACATGTCCACACCGCAAGCGATCTGGTTTGACGACGTAAAGGATGGATTGATCCGTCTGAAAGACGAGTCGGTGAAAGAGAGGTTGTGGACTCACGCATTGCTCTTGCTGGGAACGTTAGAAGTGTCACCCGGTGAGTACGAGCATGACGACCGACTTGATCTTTACGAGTGTGTGTGTGGACCTTACGCGAATGCATTTCGAGTGTTTGAGTCGTTCGGAGAGAATGATCGGGAAGTTAGGTGGCTCGATCAATCGTTGGGATTTGAACGCATGTGGGCCGACAATGAGGCTGGCCGTGGTGCGCTCGGTTCCAACATGTTGCGCGTGTACGCACGGAGCGACCCGACTGTTTTCGCGTGTCATGCCGTGAAGAACAAAGACGACGCCAAAACGCTTCTCGCGGGTGCATACGAGAATTCTCTCAAACTATGGGCACATCTCGCTGAGATGGAGTGGCGAGCAGGACGCAAAGCATCGGCCAGAAAAATTTACTCGAAAATATTTCCCACAGCCATGTCAGCCCGCGTGCAAGATATCTCGCATTTAGTGCTCTCATGGGTGGAATGCGAACGTAGCGTGAAAGATCGAGATGGCGATAAGAACGCCCTGAAGATCTTAATGGCGCTTGCGAGCGCTGATACGGCTGAAGAAACAATTCCAGAAAATGCTCAGAATGAAGATTCAACGAGCATCTTACGTGCCAAGAAGTGCTTCACGGAAAAGATGATGCACGCGTTCAATGGCGGTGGAGTTTGGTCAGAAGAGTTGCGCGTGGGCTTACAGGCGCACGGAGTGGCGCTCATCCGCTGCTTTGCTCACTTCTTACACGTGAGTAGGCAGTCGTGCGAAGAGATTGAACACGCTATTCGCAAGACGCCCAAGGAAACACAGCGCAGCAGAGATAATGCTACGCATTGGCACAAATTGCACCTCGAGCTTCTTCGCATGAAGCCAGTCGTTAGTCGCCGATCGAACCTCGAGTCTGCTCTCCGGGTATTCCCGTCCTCACCGACGTTGTTACTGAGCTTGTGCGAGCTCGAGTTGGAAGTACATGGTCGACAGCGAATGCGAATATACTTTGACTTGGAGTTTGAGCGACGTCACACCGTGATGTCCGTCTTTTTAGCTCTCGGACTGGAGATTGGCAAACCCTTCGGTTCGAATCCACGTGCGATCGCGGTCTTAGAGCGGTCGTTGGCACCGTCGGCGCCCACTTCTCAGAGCCCACTATTGTGGTTGACGTACATGCGCGCTTACCTCACATCCGGTCAAGTATCGAGCGCAAAAACTGTTTTCTTGCGCGCGATCAACGCCGTTCCGTGGAACAAGACGTTATGGCTTCACGGAATCGAATCTCTTAAAGATTATTTGACGACGAAAGAACGTGTAGCACTGCTTGAAGTCATGCGTGAAAAGAAAATTTTCCTGCGAACGGACTTATTCGAGGTGCAAATGGAAGCTGTCGCGGAGCGATAGCAGCGGTAGTACTTCTACAGTAATTACAAGCGACATATTTTCATTCGTTTTTCGCTCTGGGCGTGGTAAAGAATATCGCGTGCCTCACGCACCAGACGAGGAGAGGAAGTGCACCCACTGTCATGATCCAAAAGGCGATCCATCTGAAATTACGCACGTCCTTCGGCAACTCAAACACTGGCGCCGGATCCTGCACTTCGGGCATGTAAAAGTCGCCGTACTCCCACAAGATGCATCCAATCGACCACGAAAATAGCGCCAGAGCATAATCCGCGCCGCTGCTATCCGGCTTGGAGTACAGCATCCTCATCTGAAACCAGAGGTAGTACGTCACCTGCGCTATGATGACGATGGACATTGTCCACCACGACACGCGGCAGTAATACCTCGACACTTCGCTGAGATTGTAGTACGTGAATACTGACGCATCGTGCGCGGCCCAGGATAGAACAGCCACCGACTGGAACGCATCCGACACCTCCACGTTACCACTTTGCTCTTCATCCGCCGTCCCCTTCCTGAACGCGCACTTCGCCAACTGCACCAACTCTATCGCGATGCTCGCCCCGAAGCAGCACAGACACCAAATCTCTAAATACCACACCGAGCCGTAAAAGTCCTGATACACCCACACGCTGTTCGCTCCCACGAGCCAGAACATCACCGCCAACGCGTGTCTGAACTCGTTCGCGTTTTGCCTCGCCGTGTACGCGTTCCTCGTGAACAACCCGACGACGAGCGCCATCGCGACAAACGTCCATCGCGACTCCTGACTCCACAACACATCGTTCGCGATCCAAACCGCCACCGAGACGTGATCCCACGCCTCGATCGCCCGCGCGTCTCGACTCGTTCGCTCGGCGCCGTCCGACCCCAACACCATCGTCCTCGGCACGAGCGCCGCCCGTTCGTCCTTCGACGCGCTCGTCGTCGACGCGCTCGTCGTCGTCGCGCTCGTCATCGTCGCGCTCGCGTCTCGCGCCATCGCGACGACCGCGCGACGACCGCGTCGCGCACTGCCGATCAGTGTGACGGCAGTGCGCGCTCGGTGGAAACATGAAACTGTAAACCAGCGCGTCACTTCCTCGCGCGATGTCCGCCGCGGACGCGGACGAGGTCTTGTTCCACGCCTTACGATCGTCCGGGATCGATGTGCATCCCTCGTGGTCCGCCATCGACGACGTGGTGAACGACGTCGACGACGAGTCGAGCGCAAACACCAACGCATTGTTGAACATCGTGCGACAGTGTTTATGTTTGATCGACGCGACGGCGTACGAGTCCTTGCCGAGGGGGTTTCCGCTCGATGATGGCTCGGGAACTTCCGTCGCGGAGCGGTTTCGCGTCGCGGGACGGTACGCGAGCGCGTTGATCGAGGTCGGGGGCGAACAACGCGATGGCGACGGGTTTCAACAGTTTTTGTATCCGAGCGCGTCGAGCGCGCGAGCGATGTTGAAGCGTCTGTTAGAGCTCTTACCCAGACGTGACGTGGATGAGGCGGTAAGGGAGGCAGAGAAGGCGCGGGTGAGCGCGGCGAGCGCGCGACTGGGGTCTCGAGCGCGAGCGATGGTGGCGCGGTCGACCAAGGCGGAAGCGGCTTGGGGACGAGCAGCGGGCGCGTTGAAGGGATTCGCGGGCGTCGCCGCGGCGGCGCGAGCGAAGAAGAGGACGGACGACACGACGAACGCGAGAGAATTTTACACCTCGCGTCTAACAACGAGCTCGAGCGGAGGTTTCTTCGGGAACCTGAGCGCGGACACGTACGCGGTACCATCCGTGCTCGAGTACGCCGCGCGCGTGCGAGCGGAGGAAGAGGCGGAGGAAGACGCGCGACGTTTGAAGTTTAGCGGCGTCGTACGCGCGGAATTCATAGGCCCGGATGGTAAACCATTCGATCTTCGAAAGCGAGGAGGTTTAAGAGGGCTTGTGGCAGAAATTTTTAGGTTGGCGTTGGAGGGTGGATTTTACACTGAGCCACGTGCGATACAAGCTTGCGCCGAGCTCGAGGAAACACAAGTTGTGGACGAAGATAAGGTTGTTGAGTCCGCTAACGACGTCGAAAACGCAGCCATGGACACACTCGAGGATCGAATAAAGGCTCGCGAGCGCGATTTGGAGGATGTACATCGAAGAATAGACGAGGCGATGTCTGTCGTGTCAACGGTTGATGATGAAATCGCCGCGTGTGCATCAAAGGTGAAAGAGGCGATGGAGGCCACGGACGCCAAGCGTGCGCTCACCGCTGAGCTCGAATCTAATTATTTGCTGCATAAGCAAGCAGTGGGCATGGTTCTCGCCACCGATCGCCCCGTTGAAGAGAGCGAGGCTGAGCTGAACAAGGTGCTCGTGGCGGCGAAGGAGAGGCTGGAGCAACTCTCCGCAGAGTGGAACGCCGCGAAAACGCCATTGCTCGCCGCGATCGAAGCGCACGCGGAAGGAGCGAGAGAAAAGCGCAAGAAGGCGAAAAATCAACTGGAGGAGATTGAAAAGTGGCGATCGGAAGGGAAAGACACGAGCTCGCTCCTGCGCATCAAGGAACAAGAGCAGCGGCAGCTCCTGGACCAATACGAAGCGGCGCCGAAGAGCGTGCACCGTCCCTCGTTTGTTCGACGCGTGAACGAGATCATAAAAAATATTAAGAAGCAAGAGAGAGAGATCGTGAAAATCGTCGGTGATACTCGCAGTGTGCAGAGTGACATCAACTCGGCTCAGGCGTGCTTGGAGCGCACGTACACAGTGGTAGAGGAGATCTTGTTCAGAGAAGCTCGCTCGGATGAATTATGCCGAGCAGCATACAAGCACCTCCACGGTATGCACGCCGGGTTCGCAGATTTGATCGATAAGGTCGAGGCGACCGGTGTGGCTCGGCGCTCGCAGACGGATCTGCAGAGAAAATTAGTTGAGATTTCAAAGCAGCCGAGCAACGTTGAGCGCGTGGCACGCGATTTAGAATTGATGAAGAGACAGATTGCCGAGCTCGAGGAAAAGCTCTCGACCACGGCGGCTTAGCTTTGTGATGTTGTGATCTATCGCAGTTGTACAATCTAAGAGAGCTACCGGTAGTTTTAGAGAATTTGATACTGGCTGTACAATATCTGTCGGATTTCGAAGAAGTCCTGTGACAAAGCGCCCTCGATGACAAGCTTTTCGTCACTGTCTTTTCTGATGGTGACACGACCATCAGCGCAAACCAAAACACCACCGGAGAACTCAGCGGTGATCCCCTCTTGCGCCAAAGCCTGACGAAAATCAACGAGTCGAAGATCTCCCAAAAACACAGAACCAGGTTGAGCCGCGGCTCTCTTCATAATCGCCATTTCGTTTGACGTCGTCGTCACGAGTGCTCCTGCGTCTGCCTTGGTGCTCAGAGTTGACATCGGAAGCAACATCGGGGCACCCCCTTCTTCCAAAGCCTTACCGACGATGCCGTTGACCCAACCCACCCTGTATCCAGACATATCTCGCATCTTCGCCTTTTGGAAAAGCGCGTCTGACAGACGGATCTTGTATGTCGCCATGGAAGACGTGCACTCGACTGTCTTACCCGCATTCGGAGTGTAAATATCTACACCGGGCAGAGTCAAAACGAGTTGGTCTTTCAACAGTTTCGTCTCTTTCGCGTTACCATGAACGAGCACGATTTGTCTCGGCGCCGCTTGTTCGATGAGCGTGCGGACGCTCTGACCATCGGCTTTACCTTCAAAGTCGATCGTCAGAATAGTTGCCTTGACGCTCACTTCAACTGCTTCTGACACAAGTTTCGTCGGGATTTCTTCATCCTCTTCCGCCTCTTGCGCAGCTTCGACGAGCTGTTGCTCTTCGATCATTTCCACGCTTGGATCCTCGAACATCGTCGAAGGTTCCTTCGCGAGCTCAGGCACCATTCGTCCGCTCGCTTGTTGCGATGTTCGCATGAACAATTCGATGTCAATCTCTTGACCGTAATCCGTCATCACGGGATCCCACACTTCATCGGCGAACATGGGGCCGTGCTGCGTCATTATTGGCGTGAAACCCTCTGTCAAAGTTTCCCGGCGTCGCAAGTCAGCCTCGGCCGTGGATCCAACCGTAGTGACACCGAAAAGCACATCCATCGGTTCAGGTTCATCCGGTTCCACGGGTTTGATATCTACCATCTCTTCTTCCACAGACACATGCTCGGGCTTCTTCTCCTCCTCTTTCTTTGACTTGTCGGCTTTGCGAGTACTCTCATGTGTTGCCAGCTCTTCTCCTTCTAAAGGTACGCGGCGCGAAAGAGTAAATTTCACATTCTTCTTCGCCGCAGGTTTCGAGCTGACTCGCACAACTTCCTCCATAAGCGATCCCTCCTCGGGTTGTCCAGTGAGCACCACCAAGTTGCTCTTGTCACCGGCCCATTCGGCGAACAGGTGCCGCGCGGGTCCGGCTTCTAAGCTGCCGAACGATGCGAGCACGACCTTTGGTCCAGGCGGTAAAGCTTTCAACTCGTCCATGGTATGGCAAATCGTAATGAATTTTGTGTTGAACGGATTCTCGCGTCGACGCTCGAACGCGCTCGTCACGAGATCACCCATCCATTCTAAGTGAGATTTAGCGAAATCAAGCGTGTTGTACGCCACATTCGTCAACAATACGATTTGATACGATCCAAGCTGACGCTGTTGCCACTTCTCCTCGAGGAGCAAGATCAACTCGAGCACACGTCCGGCGGGATCGATTGGGATCAACACGTTACCATTCATGCGAAGGCTCGACAAAATTGTATCCACCAGCTTCGTGTCCCTGGGAACGGTGGATTTCGGTACCTCACGCTCGACACTACTCGCATCGGTGATAAGAAGCGCGGGACGATGAATGGAATCAAACGTAGCGCCGTTCAAATGTCTCTCCTTGCGAACGTTGTAGTCCACCGCGTAGATGATGTCCTCGGCATCCTTCCCAATCTTCCACATCGCCCCGCCTAGGGTGTGACCCGCCGCGTACGCCATGACGGAAATCCCCTCCCCTTTTCCCCTGAGCATCGACAACTGCTGATACTTCACCGGTACGAACGCCGCGAACGCCTTGTCGACGTCGTCCAGCGAGAACGTCTCCTGAAAGTCCTCCTGATCCTGCCTGGTCAAAAAATGATCGTACATGTACATCTGTCCCATCTTGTGCACCGGTAACGTCGCGTACACCTTACAATTCATCCCAAGTTTCCCGAACGCGTACGGTAGCGCCCCGAGATGCGCGGTATCGGGGTGCGAGATCAACACCGCGTCCACGTCCTTCGCGATCGCCTCGAGCGGCTTCAACATCTCCACGTCGAACGCATCCGTCCACCCACAATCGAGCAAAATGTTACATCCATCGATAGAGACGTGATAACACATCGCTCGCTCGCCTGCACCATCGAAATCAACCCCTCCGTCAGTCTCCCGTCGCCTCCGCTCGAGGCGCGCGCCGTCGTCCAATCCATCATCCGCGTCGTCGTCGCCTCGTTCGCACCTCGCACGCCGTACAGCGGGGTCACCAGCACCTTATTCCCTCGCTCCACCTCCTTCTTCCGCACCGGCGCCTCGCCGTCGAGGACGAGCGCGAGCTCCGTCATCGTCGTCGTCGTCGCCGTCGAGTGCGGGGCGCGCGGCGCGGGGTGTCCGAATCACACGCGTCGAGACTCCGCCCGCGCGTCGACGCGCGCGTCCGACGGCACCGCGCGACGCCTCGGCTCGCGCGCGCGCGTCGGCGCGCGCGCGACGTCTCGACGCGACGCGCGCGACGTCGGACGCGCGGGGGCGAGACGGGAGACCCGACGCGGGATCGCGCGACGGGATGTCGAGCTACCTCTCCGGATGGTTCTCCTCGGCGCCGACGGAGGGCGCGGACGGGGCGGAGGTGGACCCGAGTAAACTGTTTCACGAGTTTCCACATCCGGAGGACTGGAGGACGATCGCGGAGACGTTGTTGGAGAGGTTCGGCGAGGACGGCGACGAGATCCCGAGGGCGATGTGTCCGCTGGGCGATAAGCGAGCGACGGCGCGCAGGTTTTTAGTGGCGAGGAAGTACTCGATCGATGACGCGGAGAGTGCGTTGAGGGAGGCGATCGCGTGGAGAAAGAACGTGAAGGTGGGTGATCGCGTGGGCGTCGAGGCCATACTCTCGGGCGAGCCGCGTTGGGATCTGTTGGCGGAGAACCGAAAGATCATGACGGGTACGCCGTTTCTGTGTCACACCAAGCAAGGATTTCCGGTCTATCTGTTGAGAATTGGGAAGGGAGACGCGGCGTTGGCGACGACGGCGAGCGAGGAGACGCACATATATTCGACCATCGTGCGCGGCGAACACCTGGTGAACGTGCTCATACCTGAGGCGACAAAGCGCTCGAAGAAACTCGTGGCGGACGGAGTCGAGCAAGAGGCCGCGAGCGTGGATTACGATGGGTTGATCGATAAGCAAGTCGTCATCATCGATCTCGAGGGCGTCGGGATGTCTGCGCTGCGATGTCTCTTTGTGTTGAAGACCATCAACAGCGTGGCGTCGAAAAATTACCCTGAACTCTCGAAAGCCATCTACGTCGTCAACGCGCCGTCGGCTTTCGATTACCTGTGGAGCGCTGTGAAGCCGCTCCTCGCGGCTCACACGCAGCACAAGATTAAGATTTACAGTCAACCTGAGGAGCAGTACGCCGCTCTGCAAAAGCTTTTGGAGGATGCGGACATTCCCGACTTCCTGGTACCAGCTGGACGTGCGGCGGGAGCGAAGGACACGGTGACTACGACGGACGGTTTCTTGCCTGAGACGGTAAAGGCAGTCGACGAGTGGCTTAAGGGTCTCGGCGGTGAGGAGACCATTGAGGAAGAGAAGACCGGTGAGGAGGTCAGCGCCACGATTGAAAAGATGAGCACGATTTCAATTCAAGAAGATTACGCTGCCGCGGAAGCTGAAGCTTAGATATATTCTACATTGAAAGTACAAACCATCATTCGATAACTTGCAGAGAATCGTCAACGTTTAACGCATCCATCGCTTCCACTATAGCGTCATCAACGCCCGTCAAACCGCTCAAAGGCTTCCCGCAAATCGTCATCCCGCACGCCGCCAACACTTGGTGCAGTCTCTCGTTGTCAAATAAATATAGATACGCCACCAGCGCCTCCAACGCGCTCGCGTCGCGATGCACGTCCCCCTTGTGCCCCGCTCTCGATTCATGTCCGAAATCACGTCCCCACTTTAGCACCGCGAGCTCGTCGTCGTTCAAAAAATCCTGCTCCAGCAATCGACCCAAGTGCGCGTGCATCGCCTTGGCGCTGCACCACCCCTTCGACACCCCTTCCTGTGGTCTGATCGCCCGCCCGCTCCCACTCGCGCCTTCGTTTGACTTCACTCGCTTTAGTATCATGTGCTGTCGCGCGTAGAGCTCCCACACCGCGTCGCCGAGGTAGGTGTACGCGAGCGCGACCGACGGCGAGCGGTCGACCAAGGAGCTCGGGAGCTTGGTGAGCGTAGCTCCGGCGCGATCGATCGTCGCGCGCTTCGTCGATGACGATAACTTGTTCGTCTTCCTCGGGCTCGAGGCGAGGACGACGCTCAGGGCGCGAGACATCGCGCGCGAGCGTGTGCGGCAAGTCCGAGGGCAGGAAAAGGACACTACTCTTTCGATGTGTTACACGATGGATTCTAGTCCGCCTTTGCGGGCGATTCGTCGTCGCCGAGACCCCAGTCCTCCTCGGCACCTTCTTCGGCAGCTTCGGAGACCTCCTCTTCTGCCGGCTCCTCTGCCTTGGGCTCGGCTTCTGGAGTCGGTTCCGGGGTTGGTTCCGGAGTTGGTTCCGGAGTCGGCTCGGTTTCAACAACAGGTTCTGGCTCAGTTTCCGGAGCCAGTTCAGGCTCCTCGACGGCTTCGGTCGATTCCTCAACGAAAGCCTCGGCCAGTTCTTCATCTATGGCTTCGTCACCGACCTTGACGTTATCTACTGCGGTGGTCAGGTTGTCGACTGCCAATCCGACGCCGTACGAGCACGCCTCTGGGAAATCTCCGGCGGACGCGCGAGCGCGGGCTTCTGCGGAGAGAGCCTCCTCAAAACCTTCAAACAACTCGGCACTGACGATTGGATCCGCCAAAGCTTCCGCCGCCTTCTTATTGATTTTGCTCAACTCTTCTTTCCACAGCGCGATGATCTCCGTCACACGGCTCGGGGCGTACGTTCTGGCGAAGAGCGCCGCCTCAGGGATGCGCTTCGTCTCAATCAATAAGTCGATACAACCATCGACATTCTTCAGCATGAACATGGAAACAAATGCAACGTTGTTCTTCCCCTTCGCTATCGATTCCTTCACGAGCTGATTCAATTTATCGACCGATCCGGAGGAGGTCGCGAGCAGCAGCTGACCGGACAAATCGCCAGACTTTTCCAAGCACTTGTTCGTGAGATCGAGATCGCCGTTCGACATCGCGAGCTCCCCAAGTTGCTTCCATTTCGATTCGCTCGCTCCTTGGCTCTCGACGATCTCTCGCGCGATGTCGAGTTCACCCAATTGGACCGCTAGTTCAAACTTGAAGTCTGGGTCTGTGGCGATTCGCAACGCGTCACTCACCAACCCGCGAGACTCTAAGAAGCGGGCGATGGAGTTGTGTTGGTCAACCGGAATCGATTCGAGCACTTCTTCTGCGGCTTCCAATTCACCACGAAGCACCAAGGTCTTGAACTCAACGACGGTGAGCAGCAAGGTGAAGGAAACGATGCCGTAGTTCTTGTCCATCAAGAACACACGATTTTGCGCCGCGAGATAACCCAAGATGAACATTGAGCGGTCTAAGTGCGTGAGCGTGGTCACCTCACCGCCGACGCAGTAGTTCAATCTCTTATCAACATTGGTGTAAATGAAGCAGTCACCGACCCAGATGCCCGTCACGGCTGTTTCATTCACTTCAGCGATCAACTCAAACGACTCTTCAATACCCTCACTCTCGTCAACTTGTCCTGAGGCGAAAGCTTCAGCAGTCGCCTCGAGGTTGTATCTCAGGATGAAAAAGCTCGTGTCGCTCACGATCGTCACCATCTCGCCAGACTCACTCCAAATAACGTTTCTGACGGACACGTCCAAACGTCGAATGACTCGGCACTCGTCCCAGTCGTAAAAGCAAATGAAATCTGTGGAGCGCAAACCGAGCAACGCACCACCGTACAAACCCTCGGCGGTGAAGTTTGGTCGGAAGGAATTCTTCTCGGTGAAGTTTTTGAAAACCTTGATCTTACTCGAGCTCTCACGAACGGCATATTCGCTCGGATCCAAGCTCCAACAGAATTCGATCGCGCTCCCGAAGCTCTTGTTCCTCCACGCGAGTGCCGTGTAGATGATATACTCGCCATCGCCGCACACCGTGACGAAGCGTCCATTAGGGTTATGAGACAAGCTTTGCGGGTACAGCTCGCTATTACCGAGCTCCTTCACCGGCAAAGGTAATCGCTCACCGTCAACGATCTCGTACTCGACCGGCAGCGCCTTGACGTTGGTCGTCTGAACTTCGTTGTGCTTGCACCAGATGATCTTCCCCGTGTTGTCCATGCTGACCACCGGCTCGTCTCGGCCAATCTTAAACATCACCGTACCTTCATCGTAACCGATGGCCACTGAATTCGAACCCTTCAAGCACCCAATCGCCCAAACCCGCTCCAAACCGTAGTTCAGGGTGTTTTCGAGGCGGTACGTACTCTGGTGCCAGATGCGCAACGTTCCGTCTTCGCTACCGGTGATGATCACCGGCAGCTCGGGGTGGAAGCTCACCGCGGACACGTTGTGCGCGTGACCCTCGAGCGTCTGCACGCACGATTTTGTCTGATAATCCCAAATCTTGGCCAACTTGTCGTCCGCACCGGAGATGAGGTACGGGCGATCGCCCCCGTTGAAGTAATCGACGCAGTTCACCCCCTTCTCGTGTCCCTCGAGCGTAAAGTTGCACACCGGCGACGTCACGTTCCACACCTTCACCGTGCGATCGAGCGATGCGCTCGCGAACGTGTTCGTGTCCTTCGGGTTGAACACGACGTGCATGACGTAATGCGAGTGCCCTTCAAAAACCATCGCGCAGTCCCACTGTCGCTCCCAGTCCCAGAGTTTGATGAGCATGTCGTCCGAGCACGTCACGATGTACGGCTGCGTCGGGTGCACTGCGATCGAACGGATGTAATCCTGATGCGCCTCGAATCCGACGACGAGCTCGGAGGTGTTATAATTGTACACCCGGATGAACATATCGTCCGATCCCGCGACGATCCATTGCTTGCGCGCGATCCACTTCGACGACCGCACCGGGAGTTCCGTCACCTCGAACGACTTCACCAGCGAGTTCGTCTCGTAGTCCCATATCACCACGTTCCCACTGTACAAGTTGGTCAAGATCCACGGCTCGGTGGGGTGAATCTCCACCCCTTTCACCCGGTCGCTTCGCTGCACGAGCTTGCGTTTAATGTCCAACCGCATCGGCATCGTCACCGGGTATTCGCCTCGTTCGCGTCCGCGCTCGACGCGCTCTCTCGCGCGACGACGGGATCACACGAAGCGCCCGTTCGCGCGCGCCCTCGCCCGCTCGCCGCGTCGCGGTGTACGCGTCGGCGTCGTCTCCGGGGTCGCGCACCGCGATCGTCCCGTTCGCGCCTGGGCCCTGGAAAAAGGTCCGCGTGTGCCTCGAATACCTCGAGTCTCGACGGGCCAAAAAGGTCCGCGTGTGCCTCGAATACGAGTCTCGAAGCCCTCGGCGCCGACGCGTCGGTGGACGATCGCGACGCGCGACCGTCGACGCACTCCACCGCGCGCGTCCGCCCGAGCGCGCGTTCGACGCGTCGTACACGCGGAAATCACACGTCCACCGAGCGCGCGCGATGGGACTCGCGCGAATGCTGGGCGCGCGGCGGGCGTACGGCGCGCGCGCCGAGTTTTCGACGCCGAGGACGCGCGGGGGCGTCGCGCGACGATCGACCGTGCGCGTCGAGGCGAAGAAAACCGCGGATGGACCCAAGCTCGTCATCGCCGGGATCACGGGCGCGGTGGGACAGGAGTTCCTGCGCGTGCTCTCGGAGCGAAACTTTCCGTACTCTGAGCTGAAGATGCTCGCGAGCGCGCGGAGCGCGGGGAGCGTGGTGGAATTCGAGGGTGAGAAGTACGTCGTCGAGGAACTCACCGCGGAGAGCTTTGACGGGCAAGACATCGCGCTTTTCTCGGCCGGTGGCTCGATCTCGAAGAAGTTCGGGCCGGTGGCGGTGAGAAGGGTTGCTTCGTCGTCGATAACTCGAGCGCGTTCCGGATGACGGAGGGGGTGCCGCTGGTCGTTCCGGAGGTGAACCCAGAGGCGATGGCGCACATGAAGCTCGGTGGGAAGGCTGGCATCATCGCGAACCCGAACTGCTCAACCATCATCGCCCTCATGGCGGTGACGCCGATTCACCGAGCGGTCGGCGTCGAGCGTATGGTCGTCTCGACGTATCAAGCGGCGAGTGGCGCCGGCGCGCTCGCCATGGCGGAGCTGGAGCAGCAAACGAAGGAATACGTGAACGACGGTGAAGTGAAGACGATGGAAATCTTCAAGTGGCAGTACGCCTTCAACGTCTTCTCTCACAACGCACCCATGACGGAGAACGGCTACAACGAGGAAGAGATGAAGATGGTCAAGGAGACTTGGAAGATTTGGAACGACAAGGACGTGAAGGTCACGGCGACGTGCATTCGCGTCCCGGTGCTTCGTGCGCACTCCGAGTCCATCAACCTCACTCTCCGCAACCCATGCGACGAGGTGAAGGCGAAGGAGATTCTCTCCAAGGCTCAGGGCGTGTCCATCATCGACGACCGGGCGAACAACCGCTTCCCGACCCCGCTCGACGCCTCTGGCCTCGACAACGTCTTCGTCGGTCGCATCCGCCAGGACATCTCCCAGGACGGCAACAAGGGCCTCGACCTCTGGGTGTGCGGTGATCAAATCAAGAAGGGTGCAGCGTTGAACGCCGTGCAGTGCGCCGAGCTCCTCCTCAAGTGAGCCTCGCGTCAACTTTGTCAATACTGAATATTCACCAGACGCGTTCAACCGACTCCACTCCGCTTCACGCTCGCTCGATGCCGACGGTTTCGTCCCCGACCAAGCTCTCCGCCGCGCTCACGGCGAGCGATAAGATCTTAGTCGAGGCCGTCGCCGGTGCGCACCGTCATCGAACGCGCGACGAGCGACGATCGTAGACACGAATCAACGAACGAGGACACATCTTCAACGACCGAACGACTGACGACGCGCCCTTCGTTCGCTCGCTCGCAGGCGCGCTCGGTGGCGCCTTCGCCGCGCTCGCGTTGTACCCTATCGATGTCGTGAAGACGCGGATTCAGGCGGAGGGCGAGACGAGCTCGGATGAAAGGGATGGAGCGTCGGCGTCGGCGCGAGGTCGGTTCCGCGTCCCGCGATGGGCGCGCGCGCTACGAGACTTGATGCGATCGGAAGGCGTCGATGGTGTGTATCGAGGAGCGATGGGTAAGACGGCGCACTCGATTGCGAGCTCATTTTTGTACTTTTACGCGTTCAGTGGGATGCGGAGGGAGTACGAGGCGCGGACGGGGCGGAAAATTGGGACGGGCGCGACGCTCGTGAGCGCCGCGCTCGCGGGATGCGTGAACGTACTTGTGACGGAGCCTTTAGACACGTACGTGACGAGAAAGCAGTTGAAGACAAAGAATACGACGAAGACGACGGATGCCAAGGAAGGTAAGGGATCTGAATCGGACGAGGGACTGAAAGAGACGCTCAAGGCTCTGCGAGGCGCGAGTGATTCGGAGACGGCTGAGGCAAGAGGATTATATAGCGGATTAGCGGCGTCGCTCGCGCTGACGATCAACCCGGCGATTCAGTACACCGCGTTCGAGCAGCTCAGGCAGCGCCTGATGACGATGCTCAACGTCCGGGCGCAGAGACATGGGATTTTGAAACCCGTGGTGGAGCTCTCAACGTTCGACGCGTTTATCCTTGGCGCAGTGTCGAAAGCGGCGGCGACCGTGCTGACGTACCCTCTGGTGCGCGCCAAGGTGTTACAGAAGGCTGGAACTCGCGAGGAAGACACGAAATCGCTCATCGGAACGCTTCAGAGAGTGCATCGAGAAGAGGGCGTGAGCGGACTGTACAAAGGCCTGGATGCCCAGCTCGTTAAGACAGTTCTCGCTGGAGCAGCTCTCATGACGGTCAAAGAAAAGACGTTTTCGTCCGCGCTGTGGATGATGATCGTGTTTCGTGGACTCGATAGAAAGACGTCTTAGGTTTTGTAGTCACATACACGCCTGTATTCGAAAATCAATTCTAACTAAGCGTGCGTTCTGAATCAATGAACGCGACGACGACGGCTATATCGTCCATCTTTCCTCCGATAATACTTCTCCTGTCACCCCACTCTGGCCTCGTTTCTGCCACTGCCCTCGCTTGCTGCGTAAAAGGGGAGTCGTACTCCGGATCACACGAGTAACCGAACGCCAAAGTGGCGATCGCCTCGGCGCACTCCTCGGCGTCGCCGTTGTGTTCGGCGCACAGAGCGGCGACCTCGGCGTGCGGAACGTTATCCCAAAGCCCGTCCGATCCCAACACTAAAACATCTCCCGGCGAAAGTGATATCTCCGATCGTTCCGAGGCCTCGGGTCGATCGCCTTCGGGATACACCTTGGCCCAACCGAGCTGATACGGCAGGTTGAATTCGTGCTGTTGAGGAGACGTTTGGTACACCACCTCGCCCTCCCGAGCGACCAGAGCCCCAGCGTCGCCAAGATTCGCCACATCCAGAATGTTTCCATCCTTCAACATGGCGATGCACGCCGTGCACGATCCGATCACCTGCGTCTCGTCGTGCGCGTCCTTCATCACCGCCACCGGATCTCTCGTCCCCCGCAACACGCTCTGCGCGCTCTTTTCGGCAAATTTCTCGCTATACTCCGCGGGATCCACCCCTTCCTCCGCCCATCCCCCGACGCCATCAAAAACACCGAACGCACCGCTCTGCTTGAGGACGAAACACGCGTCCTCGCCCCCTTTGTCCGCCTTATCCGGGTGCGGGACCAAGATCGCGCCCGCGCTCGCCACCCGCAACGTCATCGCGCTCGTCTCCGCGCTCGCTCCCGTCCGCGTCGACCACGTTCGATCATTCACCCCCTTCAGCGTCCGCGTTCGGCGCGTTCGATCGATTCGTCCGCGCCCCGCGCCCCCGCGCGCCGACGACCGCGCCGTCGCCGCGGGACCGCGCCGTCGCCGTCGTCATCCCTCCCCCGCGTCCGTCGCCCGGGTCCCGATCACCCCACGACCCCTCGGCGTCGGTCGATCACCGCGCTCACCCGCGCTCTCGTCGCCGAGGTCCGTCGCCGCGACCGCGCGTCGCGCGATCCCGCGATCGCGGTCGCGATGTCCCGACCCCCGCCGTCGCCCGAGCGCTCTCTTCGCGCCTCGCCTCGATGCTCGCCCGCTTGGCGAGCCGTCGAAGCGCGGCGTCGTCGTCGTTCGCCGCGCCGTCGGCGTCGGCGTCGAGGCGCGCGCGCGCGTGGCGCGGGCTCGAGCGCGCGCGCTCGGGACGAACGAACGCGGCGGCGGACGACGCGGCGGTGGACGACGCCGACGGCGCGCGCGCGCGCGCTCTGGCGTCGACGGAGGCGGCGCGCGCGGGACGGAGGTATCGACCGGGGGCGTTCGCGCGACTCCCGAGCGTCGCGAACGCGAGCGAGCTGCGGGCGAGCGCGAGGAAAAAGGCGAATCGCGTGACGCCGACGAGGGGGTTGAAAGAGGCGGCGCGCGAACGGAATCTGGGGATGAAACGCATCGAGGCGATGACGTTCGGGTACTGCACGCCGCTGAAGACGTACGTGAAGGGGTTTCCGAGTCCGGAACGGTTTCACCCGTTTGAGCGCGCGTTGCTCGAGTTGACGCTGAGCGATACAAAGTATCGAACGACCGTCGAGGCGGTGGACGTCATGCGTAAGGGGTTGTTGGGGATCGGAAAAGGGTACAGCGCGCAGGTGAACAACGCGAAGGGGATGAAGGAGGCGGAGGAGATTCGAGAAAAGGGAATGGAAGAGTTGGAGGCGTATTATTCGCGAAACGCGCGGTGCGTGGACGACTTGAAATCGATCGCGAAGATACTGCGCCAGCTTCCAGTGGCAGAGCTCGAGACGCCCACCGTGGCGCTCGTAGGTGCTCCCAATGTGGGCAAGAGCTCTCTCGTGCGCGCTTTGTCGAGCGGACAACCCGAGGTGCAGAACTACCCGTTCACGACAAAGGGCATCAAGATGGGGCACTTTTTCGTAGAGGACGAGCGGCACGTCGTCACCGATACCCCTGGGTTGATCAACAGAGCGGAAGAGGATCGAAATAAAATCGAGATGCTCGCGATCGCGACTTTGGAACACTTGCCCACGTGCGTGGTCTTCGTGACGGATCTCTCTGGTTTGTCCGGCACGTCCATCGCGGACCAACTCGAGCTGCGGGAAACACTTTATAAGCAGTTCGCCGATCGTCGGCCGTGGATAGACGTCTTCTCCAAAGCAGCTTTAGTGCCCGTTTTGGGAGGCGCGACTGATCCCGAGGCTCAAGAGCTGTGGAGTGAGAAGGACTTTGAGGAGGCGAACCAAGCGATTGCGAAAATTCCAAACGCAAACGCTACGAGCGCCAATGAGGACTGGGGAATTCCTGAGCTCAAAGAGCGTCTTACGACTCTTTTACGGGATCACAAGCAAACTTTGCCCGATGTGGACGACGGATTTAATCGCGGAGACGCCAACGGTGGTGGTGTGAAGAACAAACCCGACTACATCCCGATGCTTTAAGAACTCCCCGAGACGGGTTGTTTGTTGTAGTTTGTAATGTAATTTACAGCAAAGGACTATTTTCAACACTTCAAATGCTTTGACCGCTTGAACTTCTATACACGGCGTCGTTATCACCACCCGGTAAGCTCGCCGCGCGACCCGTACTGAGGTTACCTCTTGAAGCGCTCTTTGATACGTTGGAAATGGAGTCTTCGAATTGGAGTAACTCAATGACACCCTTTCCGTCGTTCAAAGAATTCGTGAGCGCCGCAAGACACAAGGCGACTTCATCGGAATCGTTGACGAAGTATCGCGCGGAAGAGCGTTTACGACCGACGGTACACGTAACGATGTCTTGGAATCTGATTTCTGCCTCGTGTTTCTTCTTTAGGTTTGATTCATCGTGTTCTTCGACGGCCGCCAAATCGTTCTGTATCGAGGCTGATAGAGAGGTGTTTCCTTTCTTTGAGCCCGGCGAATGCGCGTTTGTACTGAGGCTGTTCTGTGATGAGTTCTGTTCCAAGAATGAAAAAATGTCTTCGTCGCGTCCAAGGAAGTGCCCAAAGCAGGCGACGAAATCAACCTCGATGAGTTCCTTGTTCTTCCCTCCGTTAATGATGTGTAAGATGCGCTCGACTGCCGTACCCTTGCTCAAGCCGACCGGGCGCACTTCGACAGATTTCGCGCCCATGACGACGTCAACTGGAGCGTTTGAGATTGGACCGGTCCACAAGTGCTGTAGCAGGTCGCGCGCCTGTTGTCTGCCGAAGTCAGGATCGGCGTACTTGTAACTCCAGACAAGTGACGTCTCGCGAGTTTCCACATGGCTTCTCGGCGTGCGCTCGCAGAAGTACTCGAAAACGACTTCAACGCTCTCTAACCAGTCGAGGTTAGTCGTCTCGATCATGGTCATCCACTTCGGCGTCTCAGTACCGTTCTTCCCTTGCAATGGAGGACGGATGAAGACACCGTTCTCTGCGGCGATCCAAACCTTTGGTAGCATAGCAAAAATTTGCGCCAACTTGTTCCGATCGGAACCGCTGAAAATACACACGGTGGTGTTCGGATCGTCACAGAGACGTGAGATGCACTCCTGCGAGATGGGATGAATCTTGTGGCGATTCTTTTTCGACTCGATTGCTGGACGATTCTTCGATCTGGAATCCATGGGATCGGTGAGCGTGGCGTTGTAGCCAAGAATGATAAGACGTTGCTTGCCCTTTTGGAACGATCGCGTAACTACATCTGGTGAGAGATGCGGTGGAATACGTTTCTGACGCAACTCGGCTTCGACATGAGTATCGTTCAGTTCGCTGATGAACGTATCTGCCCACGCTTGAGCGGTGTGAGTGCTCACGTGGGAGAAGCTGCTCCGATGTCTCTCAATCTTTTCCGCTTCAGGCATAGTCAAAGCTTCTTTAATAGCGTGCGCAACCTCTGTGACGTTGTGCGGATTCACTAACAAAGCTCCGGCACCGATGGACTGCGCCGCGCCTGCAAATTCAGAAAGCACCAACACGCCGGCGTTGCTCTTGTTTTGGCACGAAACAAATTCATACGACACGAGGTTCATGCCATCGCGCTGGGATGTGACAAGCATGACGTCGGTGACGGAGTAGAGCGCGCACAGCTCCGGAAATTGCATCGAGCAGTCCAAATGTTGAATCGGAATCGAACCGATAGAGCCGAAGCGGCCATTGATTCGTCCAACGATTTCATGTACGGTGGAGGCGAGCTTCTGGTACTCTGGGACCTCCGAACGAGTGGGTACAGCGATTTGAATAAGGCAGCACTTATCCTTCCACTCGGGATTTTCGATCAAGAATTTTTCAAACGCCAAAAGCTTATGCGGGATGCCCTTGATCATGTCGAGACGGTCGACGCCAAGCATCACTTTGCGTCCACGGAATCTTTCTTGAAGCTCTTTGATGTGATCCTGAACCTGATCAGTGCGGAGAGCGGCAGTGAAACGACTCGGGTCAATGCCGATCGGAAACGCAGCGACGCGGGTGAACCCACCTTGCGTCTCGACCCCATCCGGCGTCGCTTCCAGACCAAGAATTCGAGAAGTGGCTGATACAAAGTGCCGCGCGTAATCGTACGTGTGAAAGCCGACCAAATCTGCCGCCAGACAGCCGTGTAACAGCGCTTCTCTCATCGGAAGCATGCGGTAAATTTCAGAACTCGGAAACGGCGTGTGTAAAAACCACCCAATCTTCATGGTTTCCACGTCTTGTCGTAGCATTTCGGGCACGAGCATCAGGTGGTAATCGTGCGCCCAAACGATGTCGCCATCGCGATATACGCTCATGATCGCATCCGCGAATACGCGATTGGCCTCCTTGTACGCGACCCACTGCGCGGTCATGTTCGTTTCCTGGTTGAGTCTCGCCTCGAAGTTGAGCGGTACGTAGTGAAACAACGACCAGAGCACGTTGTTGCAGTACCCGTTGTAGTAGAGCTCCACCTGCGACTTTGTGAGGTACACCGGCAAAAGGTTCTGTCGTCGCAGTGTCGCAGTGAGCGAATCGCGCTCGGGTCCGGGTTCGATAAAAATCCCGGGCCATCCGATCCACGTCATCCCGTACGTCTTTCGCACGCCCAGGAGCGCGCTCACCAATCCGCCCGCCGACGGTCGCACGTCCCACGTCCCGTCCGCCTTTCTCTTCACGCTCACCGGCAACCGATTCGCCGCGATGATGAGCGACTCCCTCACCGGTTCCTCTTCCTCGAACACCGCGCTCTCCTCCGCGATCTCACCGCTCACGAGATTTGTCTGCGATCGCGTGCGCTTCAGCTGCTCCGCCCGCTCTCTCAACAACCGATCCACTCGCGTGCTCTCCAACTCCTCGCTCTGTTGCCCCTGCGCGTCGAACACCGCGCTTCCCGCCAAGCCCTCCATCCTGCGCGTCAAGTCATACATGGACCCATCGGTGGACATCGCGTTCAGCGAGCTCATCGACGCCCGCGAGGCGCGCGCGAAGATCTCAGAGTCGACGTGTCGAATCGGTGACGCGCTCGCGTCGACCGAACGTCTTCGCGGCGACGTGAACGGCGTCGCGGCGTCCGGGACGTCCGCGAACGCGCGAGACCTTCGCGGTGGGGACTCCGGCGTCGATCCATCCGCGGGCATCGCGCGGCGACGGCGTCGGGGACTGGCGTCGGCGCGGTCGGCGCGTCGGTTTCTCGGGTCTTCTAGACGGGACGAGTCGTGATCGGACGCTTGGGAGCGCTTGGGAGCGCGTCGGTTACGACCGCGGCGAACGGAGCGCGGATTACATTGCGAGAGAGGTTAGTTGAAAGCGGCGATGGCCTCGTCGACGAGACGCTCGGCGGACTCCCGACCTTGGACATCGCCGATGCCGAGCATCTGGGAGATCTCTTCGACGCGACGGTCGCGCTCGTGAATGCGGCGGATGTCAATGGTGGTTCTGCCGTCGACGTCGGGAGCTTTAGAGACGATGAGGTGAGCGTCGCCGCATGCGGCGACCTGGGGAAGGTGGGTGACGCAGAGCACTTGCTGAGACCCGGTGGTGGTGAGACGGCGGAGGGCGTGGCCGATTCTGGCGCCGACGCGACCGCCCACGCCGCTGTCGACCTCGTCAAAGACGGACACGCCGCCGCCGACGAGTCCGCGATTTTGACTGGGTGGCTCATTCGTCATCACGGGCGCCATCTTCAGTGCGAGCATAAGACGTGCCTTCTCACCGCCAGATGCGATCGATCCCATGGGTCTGAGAGGTTCGTTCTGACCGGCTGCGAGCAAAAATGTAGCGCGATCGAGACCCGTCGAACGCATAGTGTAGACAAACTTATCGTCCTCTCCGATTTCGTTCGCGCGCGGAATGCGCAAAACATTGCCGTTCGTTTCTTCACTCGCACCCTCACGCGGGCTCCAGGCGAGCGTGACGTCGAAACGACTTCCAGCCATTTCCAAATCCGCGAGGGCCGATGTAACTGCGCCTCTGAGCGCGCCAGCCGCTTCGCGGCGTTGCAGAGCGAGCTGAAACGCGCAATCTGATGCGGCTCTGCGCAGTCGCGCTAACTCGGCGACGTTTTCTTCGCGCTCTTCCTCGCCGATCTCGGCAGCCTCAAGCCTCTGCTCCGCTTCTTGCGCGGCTTCAATTGCAGCGTCCGCTGATCGAACACGCAGAGCCTTAAACAACCGCTCCAATTCTCGTAAGCGAGCTTGGGCCTCCTCTCTTCGGCGGGGCGAGCTCGCGAGAGATTCTGCATACTTACCAACGTTTTCTTCCGCCTCTTCGGCAATTTTCTCTGCCTGATAGAGGAGGTCAAGCGCGGCGTTCAAGCCTTGAATGGAGGCTTCATCGAGACCTGGTTCCGCTTCAGCATCTTCATCGCCATCTGCGCGAGCGGAAGCCGCCGCGCTCTCTGCGCGTCGTTCGGCCGACGCTATCAGACCCTTGACTTCGTGCGCAGCCTCACGAAGGAGACCTCTCGCGCCTTGTTCGCCCGCGATGGTTGAGATGACAGTCCCGCACATCTCGACGGCGACTCGACTTGACTCGAGTCTTCTCAGCTCCGCCTTGAGAGCAACGTCTTCCAAAGGCTCCGGATCGACCGCGTAGTACTCTTCTAATTCAGCCTGCAGCTCTTCACGTTCGCCGGGTAAGAGCTCGACTGCGTTCTTGACCTTGTTGAATTGCGCGGTCAAGTCATCTGAAAGGCGTTCAAACTTTTGTCGCAACACCTTTGTACCCGCCCACTCGTCGAGAAGCGCCAGTTGCGCGCCCTCATCGCTGAGCGTGGACGCAGCTCCTTGTCCGTTGAAATCCATGAGAATGTCGCCCAGCGCTTTGAGCGCTTTGAGCGGCACAACGCGGCCATTGATGCGACAAACGCTGCGAATGCGCTTTGTCTTACCGTTCGAGTCAACGTACTGCAACTCTCTCGATATCTTCAGTGCATTCTTATCCTCCTTGTCTGGCCCGAACGGTTTCACGCTCTTCCCATCCTTCGATGCTATGGACGTAATTTGATCGTTCACCACGTCATAAATCATACCCAGCGACTCTGTCGCCACGTGAAACGTCGCCTCCAGCTTCGCCCCGCTCGTGTCCGCCCTGATGCTCTCTTCCTTCGCCGGCGAGCCACATATCTGCGCGATTGCGTCCAACAACACCGACTTCCCCGACCCCGACTTCCCCGTGATCACGTTCAGCCCGCGTTCGAACTCAACCGTCTGCTCGCTCACCAGAGCAAAGTTTGTAATCTTCAGCCTTTGCAGGTACGTCCATCGCTCGTGCTCCTCCGAGACGCTCGGCGCCGCGGACGCCTGCGTGACATTCATTCGAGCCTGTCGCGCATCGCGTCGCCGCGTGCCATCGAACTCGCGCGCGCCCCGTGTAGAGGCTCGAATCGCGCCTCGACACGCCGCGACGCGCGAACTCACCGCGCTCGCCCCGCTCATCGCTCTCCGAAGAGGACTCTCCGAGCGCGACGACGCTCGAGCGATGACGATGACGCTCTCCACGAACCCTCGCGCGCCCGAGCGCATGGGTGTGACGCGCGCCGAGGCATCGGACTCGCCTTCGGGGGTGATTTTTCAATTGCAGACACACAAAAGTGTCCGCGTGTGACTGTGAGACTCTGGCCAACACTAAACATCGCGAGCTCGACGCGAACACACCTCGACGGACGCGACGCGCGATCGGTGATCGCCTCGCGCGATGACGACGGAGAGGGAGAGAATCCCGCTACCGGTGACGGGTGGTCTGCTGGACGCCAACGGCGGCACGCGCGAGGCGCTGCTCGAGGATGCGAGCGCGGACCTGAGCGATGGCATCGCCTATCGCGGTGGCGCGGTCGAGCGCGCGATGTTCGCGCTGCCGTTCGTGACGTCGATGACGATGATATCGTTCGTTTTGTTTTGGGGCGCGCGAGTGAGCCCGTTTCTGACGGTGCTGTTCGTGTGCGGGTACGTGAGTTACGGTTGGGTGAAGGGACTTCACAGCGGGTTCAGCGCGTTGGCGTTTGGAATTCCATTCCTGCACGCCTATAAGGCGGCGGATTGGCACAAGCTAGGCAATGATGCGACACAGCGAGCGCCAGTGCGAGATAGATTTTTCGGCGGCGTCGGTCGTGCGTACAAGGAGACTGGGCCCGCGTTGGTTGGCGACGCGGAGCACACGTGGAGAAGCGGCATCGACGGCGAGATGAAGCGCGGGCTCACGGCAAAGTTCAACGACATCGTGCACATTTGCGTCATTCCGACGTATAAGGAGCCATTAGGAACACTTAGAAAGACTGTTGGGACGCTCGCTGCGCAAACGTGCGCGAAGGAGCGATTGATTGTAGTGCTCGCGACGGAGAGCCGAGACAGCGAGGCGCCCGGAAAGGTCGCTGAGCTCATCGATGAGTTCGGATCAGGGCTTCTTGGGCTGCGATACACCAAACACGTTCTCGCACCGGGTGAAGCCGTGGGAAAGAGTTCCAACTGCGCGTGGTCGGTTCGCTGCGTCAAGAGGGAATATGTGGAGAAGCGAGGTCTGGCGCCGGAGCAAATCATGCTCACCGTGTGCGATGCGGACACCTACTTTGATCCGCAGTTCATGGACTGCCTGGCTTACAACCACGTTCAGAACCCGAAACCGTATAACGCGACGTATCAGGCTTCGGAGACCTTTTTCCCGAACATCTGGAATGTGCCGATCATCATCCGCATCAAGGCTGTGATTGACAGCGTCGGGTTTCTCGGGCAGCTCGCTTCTCCGTTTAGCCACCCATTCCCATTCGCTATTTATTCTCAATCCCTTCGAACTTCGATGGAATGCGGCGGGTGGGACGTTGATATCATTCCCGAGGACTGGCATCACTACCTGAAGTGCTGGTTTAAGAAGGATGGCGACTTTAGAGTCGTGCCGATCTTCATGGTGATGGGAAATGACGCAATCGAGGAGCGCAACTGGAACGAGGCCATCAAGGCTCGATACATTCAAGCGAAGAGACACGCCTGGGGGGCGATTGATCTATCCTACATAGTCATGAATTACCTTGAAAAGAGCGACAGGGTCTCTTTCTGGAGAACGACGAAACTTTACATGCACGCCGCCGAGCACCACATCTCGTGGACTCTGTTCTGGTTCACTTGTATGTTGGGTGGGTTGTGCTCCACTTGGGCGAACCCGGTCCTGGAGACGTATCCGTTCGGGATTGGCTTACGAATGATGACGGTGATTGTCTTCATACCGATGAGCTTCGCGTGTTGGTTCATCGTCATCTGCGAATTTTATATTCGTCTCTTTATCATTCACGACCGTGAGCACTTTGAGTGCAACACGGCGCCGATGTGGTGGCAACTCATGAGCCAGTGTCAGTGGTTCCTCATGCCCCTGGCCGACATGATGTTTGGTTCTTTCGCTGGGTTGGAGGCACAGTTCCACATGGCGATCAAGCCTAGCATGAAGTACGAGGTGTCCGCCAAGGTTGCCAAGAAAAAGGCGCTCATCGTGGAGGACGCGTCGGTGCCGGACTCGCCCTCCATGTACGATCGAGGTACCAATGGTTCAGCCAACACGGCGTTCAACGGTAAGCTTTGACGTCGCCTCCATCATCACAGTAGCTCTTTAGTATTAAAAACGACACGAGGACTTCCTTCCAGCCACCGCAAATATCCGTACACTCCAACCACCGACCGACGCGCCCCGACCCCAGAGTGCTGCGCACATGCGTCCCGGCCGCGTCAGGAGCGCCCACGCTCTCAGCGCACGCGCACGCGCTCTCAGACGCGCCGCGTCGGTCCTCGGCGTCGTCCTCGCGTGCGCGTGCGCGCGAAGATTAGTGGCTCACTCGCCGAGCGCTTCGGCGACCAAGCTCGTGCTCGACGAAGAGCCGACGCGCGATTACGTCGTTAACGCGCGCGAGGTCGGGACCGGAGTATGCGGTGCGACGACGGGCACGAGTACCGAGCTCGACGGCGCGGTCGTGCGGTGGGGATCGGAACATGTGGTCGCCGACGCAACCGCGTGCTGCGAAGCGTGCTCAGACGCGAGTGGGTGCAACGTCTGGGTGTGGTGCTCGGACGCGGACGGGTGCGGTGGCGATCGTAAGTTCGGTGAGTGTTGGTTGAAAAAGAGGACCGACGCGGCGAAGGCGATGAGCGCGGCGTTGGTTCGGCGTGATCGGTCACGTTGGACCTCTGGCGCTTTGTTCTCGGAGGCCGAGGCGACGGAAGCGGCAGCCGAGGCGCGGTTGTTGGAGACGGCGAGAGCAGCGGTCAGGGACGCCAAGGGCAACCAAAGAGTCTATTTGGACGTTGCGATCGATGAGGAGCCGGCGAAGCGAATCGAGTTCGTGTTGTACGCCGAGGTCAGTCCGCTCGCTAGCGAAAATTTTAGAAGAATGTGCGCTCTCGAGCCGAGTGCCGAGTACACGTGGGTAGGCTCTAAATTTTACAGAATTCTAGATAGGTTCATAGATCAGACGGGTCCACAAGGCATCACTGGGAGCGCGGTGAATCCTAACGGGACCTTTGACGACGACAAAGGCGGTTTACAGCTCAAGCATGACCGTCCGGGATTGCTCTCAGTCGCGAACGCTGGACCAAACACGAACACGGGTCACTTTAGCATAGTCATGGCCCCGGCCCCACATTTGGATGGTTCGTACGTCATTTTTGGAGAGGTTGTGAGCGGGCTCGAGCACGCATGGGCCATAAACGCACTTGCAACAGAGAGCGGCGACCCGTCGCCGCGCGTCGCCCGCATCACCGCTGCCGGTGTTCTCGAGACCTCTTCTTAAGACACCTCAACAATCTTCTGTATCTTGAACACGAAACGTACGCACGAAATCAACGATCTAGCGATTCTCCATCGCTCGATTCCACTGTCGTCCGCTCCCACGTCACCTGTTTTCGATGCGTGGCGCTTGTCAAATTTCTCAAATTTCGCGGTTCATGACTCAAGCCGAGTCTCGTAATATCACAAATAGGGCTTTGAGTGGCGCCTCGGAAAACGCGAGCCCGCTCCCCCGTCGCTCGAATCCGCCTTTCTCAGGCGCGCGGAAGTCGACCTCGTGAGCCATGGTCCGAATCTCCGTCTTGAACGACACCCTCAGTACGTTTATCATCGACGTAGTGACTCGCATCGACGTCTCAAGCGTCGCGTCGCGCGTGAACGCGACGACCTCGCTCGAGCCGACATCGTTTTAGGGTCTCGAAGACTGACCTCGATCTTCCATCGCGCAGAGTCGATGTACAACGCGGAGAAGCGCGGGAAGCGTCAGGTGCTCGTCCGCCCGGTTTCCAAGGTGGTGATCAAGTTCTTGCAAGTGATGCAAAAGCACGGTAAGTGAGAGCGACGAGCGGAAAGACGAGGAGAGAATGGAACAGGGTTGATCGATCGAGCGCGGCGCGGGAGAAGAAAACTCAATTAGCACAGACGCTGACGGTATATTTTTTGCGCGCGATAGGCTACATCAACGAGTTCGAGTTCATTGATGACCACAGAGCGGGTAAGATCGTTGTCGAGCTCAACGGTCGTATCAACAAGTGCGGCGTCATCAGGTGCGTGTGTTTTAGGGTCTGAGCGCACGCGCGCGCGGCGCATTCGTTCTTTGAACGTTGGCGCGCGCGTCATTGAAGCAACGATCGTGATTGAAAAGACGCGTTTACTCACGAATACGGACATCGATCGGTAGACTGACGTGAAAACGCTCGATTTTTCGTCCGCAGCCCACGTTACGACTTGTCCCACCACGACCTCGAGGACTGGGTTGGTCGCCTCTTGCCCTCTCGTTTGTTCGGTGTGATCGTGCTCACCACTTCTTCTGGCATCATGGATCACGAAGAAGCGAGACGTAAGAAGGTTGGCGGTAAGGTCTTGGGCTACTTCTACTAATCGCCGTGGAGGGGAGAAATAGAGATCATATAGAGGGCTCGGCGAGCGGGATGGAGCGCCTCGAAAGATTTTAGAAACATCAGTAGGTGGATGTCATACAGTGTGAAGTCTGCCGTCACAACGCCTCGCCTCGCGCGCGCGTCGTTTTCGCTCGATCCTAGTTGGCGCGCTCGTCGTTATGAATTGGGGACCGATTGTGTTCAAAGATCTGTCGGCTACACTAGTTGCCTTCTTGGAGCCACTTTGCGGCGTCCAACGCGTAGTAAGTCAATGTCAAGTCGGCGCCGGCGCGCTTGATGGCGATCAAGGATTCCAAAACGGCGTCGCGCTCGTTGAGGTAGCCGGCCGCGGAGGCTGCCTTGAGCATGGAGTACTCACCGGATACTTGGTACGCCGAAATTGGGAGCGTGGTGCTGTCTCTAAGCGCGCGGATGATGTCTAAGTAGGCGCCCGCGGGCTTCACCATCATGATGTCCGCACCCTCTTGTTCGTCGAGAGCGGCCTCACGCAAGCACTCCCGGAAGTTAGCCGGGTCCATTTGGTATTCAGCCTTGTCCTTCGGGATCTTCCAGTCCTCGTTGCCTGGGCGCGGTGCCGACGCCAAGGCATCACGGAACGGGCCGTAGTAGGCGCTGTTGTACTTGGCCGTGTAGCTCATGATGGAGACGTTGGTGAAACCTTCGTCATCGAGCGCTTGACGAATCGCACCGACGCGACCGTCCATCATGTCGGACGGGGAGATAACGTCGGCGCCCGCGCGAGCCTGAGAGACAGCTTGCTGGCACAGGTAGTAGACAGTTTCGTCGTTCATCACGACGCCGTCGGAGCGCACCATGCCGTCGTGGCCCATGGTGTTGTAAGGATCGAGCGCAACGTCGGTGTACACCTCCAAATCCGGGAAAGTGTCCTTCAACAGCGAGATCGAGCGCTGCGCCAGACCCATCGGGTTGAAAGCCTCCTTCCCGCACGGCGTCTTCAGGTTGTCCGCCGTCTTCGGAAACACGACGACCTGGTTCACCCCCATCGCGCGCGCCTCGCGAACCTTCTTAATCATTCCGTTCTTAAAGCTCAATCGCTCCTGTCCCGGCATCGACCCGATCGGGACGTTCTCATCGCCCTCGTCGTGGACAAAGATGGGATAGATGAAGTTGCTCGGCGTCAGAATGGTTTCCCGAAACGCCCGTCGCACCGTATCCGATCGTCGATTACGTCTCGGTCGCTGCGGCAAATCTTGCGGCGGCACCGTCGGTGCTCCTACGTCACCAAATCAATCATCATCGTCAGTCACCCGCGTCGTCCCATCGCCCGCGTCCGTCGTCGCCTCGCGTGGATAAACCTCTCGAGCGCGCGCATCCGACGTCGCACCTTCCGGGACCTTGGGCGCCGTTCGCGTCGTCGGCGGCGCGCGCGCGTTGCGCGGTTCCGTCGCCGCGCGGCATCGCACGCGCGTTCGCGCGCTCGTCGACGGCATCGTCGTCGTCATCGCCATCGTTCGCGTCGTCCCGCGTCGCGCGATCGCGACATCCTTCCCATCGATCGCGCGTTTCGCGATCCGTCTCGCGTCCATCTCGCGCGATGGGCGATATCGACCGCGAATACGAGGACGATCGCGGGCGATCGCCCATCGCGGCGGCCATCTGATGGATTTAGGGTTTAGGGTTGATGGACGCCATCGGATGGACGCCATCACTGCACGCGATGGGCGATATCGACCGCGAATACGAGGACGATCGCGGGCGATGCACGCGATGGGCGATATCGACCGCGAATACGAGGACGATCGCGGGCGATGCGATGGGCGCGATGGGGCGACGGGCGTCGCGTCGGCGTCGGCGTCGACCGCGCGCGAGTGCTCGCCGCGCCGCGTCGGGGGATGGGGAAGCGGAAGAGCTCGGCGCCGCCGCCGAAAAAGGTGGCGCCCAAGGTGGACACGCAGTTTACGTGTCCGTTTTGTAATCACGACAAATCCGTCGTCGCGCGATTGGACAAGACGAGCGAAAAGGGCATGGTGGAGTGCGTCGTGTGCGGACAGCGGTACACGTGTAACATCACGCATCTGAGCGAACCGATCGATGTGTACAGCGATTGGATCGACGCGTGCGAGCGGGTGAACGCGAGGGAGGGGGAGGAGGAGGAGGAGTAGGGCGGAGGCGGGCGAACGGCGAGACGAGGCGCGAGAGGCGCGAAATGGTAGGGCGACGATTGTAGTGGGGAACGATAAAAACATACGTCGTACGTTTGTTCGTTCGTTCGTCGCGGTATCGATGGGTTTGCGCGCGCGACGCGAGGCGACGTTTTCACGCCGTACAAATTACAACTCGAGCGCTTTCGGTTTCACGCTCGGACCACCGCGATAGAGCTGAATGGGGATCGCACGCACCGCCACCGGTTCCTTATTTCCTGGATTGATCGGCTCGAACACGCAGAGCACGCGCAACATGAAAGATATGCTAAACGTCGCTGCCTGCACGCTCGGACACGTGAACAGGCGTGGGATGACAAAGTGTATGGGAATCTCCGTCCCCCGCGCGCAGTCCCCGTCGGCCACCTGCGTGAACTGCACCGGAGACGTCTCGCTCAACGCCTGCCCTTCGCTCGTCGTGCACCCCTCGATGCGACAGAGCTCAATCTCGATGGCTTTGAGCGGCGCCGCCGAGCGCACCACCGTGAGCGCCCCCGTGATCGCCTCCTCCAAGAACCAGCTCGTCTTATCGAAATATCCGCGTACGAGAAACCCCTCAGTCGCCAACGCTCCCGGTGCGGGCCCTAAATCCTGCTGTTCCTCCGTGATCTCGAATTCCACCCTCCCGCTCGCCCGGACGTTTTCCGCGTCCTCCTCATCTGGCGTCGACTCCACCAAGAACTCGCACATCCCCGTCGTCAACGACCCCCCCCGCAAGATCGGCCGCGCGACTTCCGCATCGATCGCGTACACCACCTGCGTGTTCTGCCCGTGAAACGTCTCGTACACGGGCATCGAAGCCGGAAACGCGCGCAACGGGAACGAGAATGGAAATTTGTGCACCCCCGTGGCCAACCGTCCCGGCGGCGCCAACACCGACTGCACGTCCAGAACGCTCACGGGATCGACCGACGTGAACAATGCCTCCAACATCGTCACCCGTCCCTCACCCACGCGCATCGCCACGCTCCCACACGCGGTGACGACGACGCCTTGATGATTAAACGGTGCGTCCTCTCGCTCGATCGTCGCCACCACCTCTCCGCGCACGACGTCCCCGGCGCGGTACTTTGAATCCACGGCGTCGAGGAAGACATCCACGCGCGACATTCCCGCGCGCGTCGACGCGTCGACGCGCGCGCGCGCGTGTGCGGCAGCGCACACGACACGACCCGTCGTCACACGTCGACTCGACGACGTCGAGTCGACGACGACCGACGACGGACGCGCGCGCGCGCGCGACGGACGCGCGATCGCTCCGTCGTCGACGTCGCGACGCGCGGCGACGGAGGCGCGCCCGTCGACGGGGTGGACGCGTCCGTTTCGACAGATCTCGAGCGTCGGCATCGTCGTCGTCGCGATCGCGATGGCGTCGAGCGCGTCGAAGCGCACGCGGGAACGACACCTCGTGACGTATAACGATCGCGAGGAGACGCCGTTGGAGCACGCGGTGGAGGAACACTGGGACGAGGGGACGAGTCTGCTCAGGAGGCTCCCGAGCGAGGCCTCGGGCGTCGGGCACGCGTTCTTTCCGGTGTTGGAGGATTGCATCTTCGTCGGACATCTGATGACGGATTTGGATAGCATCGCAGGAGCGATCGGGGCGGCGCATTTGTACGACGGCACGCCCGCGCGGGCGAGCGAGGTGAACACGGAGACGACGTTCGCGTTGGAGACGTGGGGGGCGGAGCTTCCGGGCAAGGTGGAGGATCTGTTGAGAGAGACGCCGGAGCGAAACGTGTGCCTGGTAGATTTTCAGCAGCAGTCGCAATTGAATCCGGCGATTCCCATGGCGAACATCGTGGGAGTGATCGATCACCACGCGCTGCAGTCGAACACGATCGTGACGGAGAAGCCCATCTTTGTCGATATTCGGCCGTGGGGGTGCATGTCGAGCATAATAGCGCACTCTTTCGCGGTGCAGAGGAAATTCCTCCCGAAAAACATCGCTGGGATGCTGTTGAGTGCGATTTTGAGCGATACGCTCAATCTCAAGTCGCCCACGACGACTGAGTGGGACGAACGCATCGTCGCGATGTTGGTGCAGTACCTGCAGGTGGAGGACGTGAACGAACTCGCGGCGAAACAGTTCCGAGCGAAGAGCCAATCCTTGAATCTCATGACCCCTTACTCTCTCGTGAATGGTGATATGAAACAATTCAAGTTCAATGGCGGTGGCGATAAGACGTATCTGGTCGCGTATAGCGTGATCGAGACGACGGATGCCGAGGCGAGTCTCTCTCGCGCGGCGGACATCCTTCCGGAGATGCGAGCCGTGAAGGTGGCGGAGCCCTCGATAAATGCCGTGTTGTTGGCCGTTGTGGACATTGTGAATTTGCACTCTACACTGCTCATCTGTGGGAGAGTCGAGGCGTCTCTCGCCTTGGCGGCGTACGGTGGAGAGCTCACGGCGGACGGCTCGATGCTTCAACTCGCTGGATTAGTCAGCAGAAAGAAAGATTTCGTGCCGCCCCTGACGAAGGCGGTGAAAGAAGGCTGGGAGCCTCCACAACTTAGCGTAGAAATAGGCTCCGCATTGGACCTAAATGGGTTGCATCGAACGAAATCGATGCTAGATGTCCCACATGGAGAGGTCAGCGTGGAGTACACCGACGATGTTCCGTCTGGTTTGCTCGTGCGCCGCGACGACTGAATACGCCATTGACATACATTTGAATGCATTTTAATCACATTTCATTACAGCTACCTCGTTGTTCGCTAATATGTCACAGTTCGTCGCGTCCCACGTTGCGCTCGGCGACGAATCGTCTCGTTCTTTAGAACCTTCCTATCCGCCTCTTCCTGTACCACCGTGCCCTCCGCTTTCAAGAAGTCTCTCTCAGACGCGCAGTTACCGAAGACTCGCGAGAGTAATTTCCGAAGCTCCGATATATCTTCATTGCCGTAACGAGCGACGATCATCTCCAACAAATGCCCGTTATCGACTCGTCCGAGCATCACTCGCAAAACCTCGTCCAGTTGCTCGTCCAACATGTCTCGTACGCGCACGTAGTCACCGTCACCCAACGCCAAAAGCGACCGAACAATACTATCGAGACATGACCACCACATCTCCTCACCGTTTTGAACGCCGCTGGATACTCTTCGACACAAAGCGATGGCAACCCGCAAGCTTTCGCTCGCTTCGATGATGAGACCTTTCATGAGGCTCTCTGCAGGCGCGGTCCTCGCCCATTCTGCGCCACCCGTCGTTGAGAGCTGTATCATGGCTCGCACACCGGTCGAATAGCTAGACAAATGAATGGACAGAGCTTCGTCGTGTTTACCGAGCGCCTCTAGGAGGTAGGCCAGGGCGTCCATGACGTTGAATTCTCGACAGTGCTCCAAGCATTGAGCCTGGTCCAGAGACTTCCCGCTTTCGCTCTGCAAGTACTTCAACACATCTTGCGGCTCAAATTGGCACATCAAACGGAGGTAAAGCTCACTCATTTCCGCCGTGACGATGGATTTCGTCGACGACACCAACTCCGCTAGGCTCATATTCTGCCCTTCACTCATGACACCGCCTCCATGAACAGTCTCGAGAACTTGACGGAGGTACTGAAACTGCAACACCGGTTCGGAGGAGAGCGCTCGTAAGACTTCGTCCTGTGCGAGCGGGAAGTGCGCGATCGCTATGCGAGCGCAAACATCTGCCGACGTACCCGCCAGTGCAGGCATGATTGCGAGAATTTCTTCATAAAACGATTTCGCCATCTCAGCATCCAAAGCATGAGCTCGCGCCACCGCTGGACCGGCGTTCACTTGCTCTGCCATGACTTTCCCTGCAGTGGCTGTTCCGAGAAGTACATCCACGTAGTGCACCGCCGCGTTCGGTCTATGGGCGTCTCCAGCCAGAGTCTTCAGCGCACTGATGTGATCCCCTGACGATATGTGTATCACGGCCTCGGCTTGGGCGAAATGTGCACCTCGCGCAAGTTCAAGCATTCTGCTCTCATCGCTCAACACGATGTCTTCTTCAATGCGACGCGATATGATCAACACCATCGCATCCTCTCTCTTTTGTGCGTCGCGCTTCGTCGAAGTCAAGGCCAGCTCTTCGAGAAGCTCACGCTCAATCTCTTGCGAGACGGCGGCGCGGCCACTGCCGACCAAGCTAGCGGTGAAAGTTAGGAGTTGTGATCGACTGGACGTGTGACCGCCTGAACCGAACGCATTTGCAGTGAGAACCGCAACTTCGGCAACGATCTGTGATGCCATGCGATCACACTCCTGACGGTCAACGCCCATGATCTCGATTTCACTTGCGTCCCAGTTCTTCAAAAACTCCGCCATCACGTCGGTGGTAGCCTTGGGCTCGATGAGGAAAAGATATAGGAGACGCAGAGGCGGTGGTTGCGTAGAAGCGCTCTCTCTCTCTATGAGTTGCATCGCAGTCATCCACGTGTTGACCGCTATGGACTCCTTCGTCGATTCAGAAGAGGTGAATGTAGACACGTCAACAGGCTCAAGCAGAAACTTCATGACTTCAAACCGAAATCGTGCGACGACGTCACTGGACAACTCGTCGCCAACGATTGGGAATCGCTCGCCTCGGATAGTCTTGTGAATGAATAGCAGAAGTTGTCGAACGCGCACTTTGTCTCCAAATGCCGGCACAAGAGATGCTTGAAACATCGCCTCAATAGGTGTGACGAAATCATTCAGCGCCCGCGTGAACACGTGAGCAAGTGCGCTAAACATGCCATGGTGCTTGCACAGTCGAGCGATTTGGTTCAGGTCAAGCGATGTGACATCCATGTGTAAGACACACTTCTCAATCGTGTCCGCCTCCCCGAGCGAGGCATAGTGCTCCACGAGCGCTTGCATTACCTCGGCAGGAAGTGAGCGCAGCTTGTCCGTTAGAATGTGAGGCACCATGCCCTCTAGAAAATTAGCTCTACACTTCGAGTTGAGGAAGGCATCGAAGACTGCGGGTGCATACACTTTATCCAGCGCGTCAAAAACGAGTAATAGCGCAAATATTGCGCGTGTCAGATTTGCCAAATATTCTGGCTCCTCATTTTCATCGACGCGTGAATACGCATCAAGAAATGATGGGATTTCGCTGATGAAGGCTTCCACCACGCGCATTCTCGTCGTTTCGACATCTGCATACTTCTTCGAAAGAGCCGGCCACAAGGGTAACTCTTCTGCATAAGCTTGTAGCAACGTATCAAATGCGCCGATCCAATCTTCATCGAGCTTTTTGGCGCGCACGCGCTCGAGCCATCCCAAGAATTTGCCTTGACGCAGTCGGGACGGTGAAAGAATGGCAATATAAACACCGTGCATCGTAACGGATCCATGCCAGTTCTGAACGCGCTCAGATCCAGCATCGTTACCCGTCACTCCTCGCACAAACTCACGTGGCACGGGCGGCTCGCCAGTCGGAATCCGTTCTACAAGCTCTCCGGATGGCGTGTAAATCAGCAGCTTATTGCGACTGCTGAGAATGCAAATCAAATCTTGCGCGAGCCAAGCCGCCGCAAGCGCCGTCGTCGAGGCTTCTGAATCCATCTTCCAGGAATGTATGATTCTCGAAGTATTTGACGCGCGCTTCGAACGCTCTTCTCCCTTGTCAGGTGCTGGTTTTACCGATTCAACATCGACGGCAAGTACATACACGCTTGCGCCCCAAACGACAATGAGATTACACACCTCCACACCTTCGCGCATGATGATGTCTTCGGCCCATCTCGGACTCCAGTGCATGATGGGAAGTACACTGGATGCCATGTTCGGTGGCCGAACGATCTTAGCAATGACTTCAGCCTTGGGATTCAATCGCATGACGAGCACTGCGTTCATCGTGTTCAGCGCGACGATACCTGCAGAGTCTGCGACGCCCTTCGTCGCGCTCGAGGTCTCACCAAAATAAGAACTCACGACGCCATTCTCATGCTCCTTCAAATCATTGACATCCACCGTCGCCGCGCTAGGAAGCGCTTGTGCGGCGATCACAAAAGTGCGCTCACCGAGAGAGCTCGACTTGACTCGAATCACGCCCATGCCGAGCGGAGAAAATGTGTGATGAATGACGAGACCGCCTTCTTCAGACGACACGACGTCGACCGCACCGCTAGAGTTCGCCTTCGCCAGCATCACGAGCGCCACGATAGGCGTGCGATGAACGCCGACGACCGTTTTCAAGATTGTTGGATTCCGTTTCACGTCCCACAGTGTGAGTCCACCGTCGTCGTGACCGGCCAGTAACCAATCGCCGCGCTCATCGAAGCACAGGCTCGTGACCCCAGGCGTGGCGGAGATTCCCGCGAAATTATTCGCCGATCTCAGGATCGACATCGTCGTCTCACCGCTGGCGCCGCGCTCAAGAAAAATGAAACCACCCTCGGTGCCCACCGCGACGCGCCCGCCCGCTCCCGACGCGCAGCACATCGCCCGTCCCGCATCCACCGTGTCCATCATCGCATCCGTCACGCGCCGAACGTTCGAAAGATCCACCACGCACCCCACCGATCCCTTCGCGTTCCCAGCAGACCTCCGTTTACCCGACCGCGCGCGAAGCCGAAGCGTCTCCAGCGCGCGTCTCGCTTCCTCTCGAGCATCCGTCGCGGACGTCGACCGCGCCCCATGGATCCCCTCAAACGCCCTCGCCTCTCGCGCCAACGCCACGACTAACCCATCCTCGCTCTCCGACCCCTCTCCTTCGCCCTCTGCATCGCTCGAATCGCGCTCTCTCGCGTCTCCGCGCGCGCGTCTCCGCGCCGCCCGCCGCACCGCCGCGCGCACATCCTCATCCTTCACCATCGTCTCTTCGCCCACCTCGAGTCGCTCGACCGCGCGCACGGACGGTATCTCTCCCTCCGCGTTCGCGCCATCGTCCTCGGCATCGCTCGACGACGACACGAGGAGGTCATCCACTCGTACGGAATCACACGTCTCGTCATCATCGCTCGACGTCAACCCATCGTCCTCGCCGCCGACGGGGGCCCATCGACGGGCGCCCATGATGGGCGTCCACCGCGCCCGTCGCGCGCGGCGCGCCCGACGATGGCGCGCGAGAATGCGTGCACGCGAAGATGCGTGGATTTTTATCGCGTCGTACCGCGGCATCTTTTCTTTCGCGTCGCACACCTCGGCGCGCGGCGTCGATGACGGACGCGCGCGTGGGAGAGCATGGAAAGCTTCCCGTGACGCGCGTCGACGCGTCGTCGTCGTCGAGGGATCCGAGAGCGCGCGGAGACGCGTCGGGACGCGTCGACAACGCTCGACAGAGTGATGACGGTCTTTTGCGTCGACACTGGACGAGCGCGCGGGCGCGACGGGAGCGGGAGAGCCGGGCGTCGACGTCGAGGTCGTTGTTACATAACACGATCGGATCGGGGGCGCTCGCGACGAGCAGTGCGTTTGCGCGAAGCGGGATCGGGCTCGGAGTCGTGAGCGCGGCGGCGGCGTGGTACCTGGCGACGCTCACGCTGCACGCGCTGTTGTACTGCGCGGCGTCGAGAGACGTGTGGAGTTACGAGGAGTTAGTCAGCGGGGTATTAGGGGAGGGTGGACGGAGAGTGACGCGGATATCAGTGGGGTTGTTGCAGTTCGGCGTGGTGGTCGCGTACGTGAACGTGGTGGGCGATACATTTTTTGTCGCGGCGTCGAGCGGGATTTTGCCCGCAGGGACCGAGCCGACGCGGGAGCGCGTGCTGTGGGCGGTCACGTTTGGGGTGTTTCTCCCGCTCGCGGTGTTCGTGAAGTCTCCGGAGAGGTTGACGAGGATGGTGAACTTTGGATACTTTGCCACGGCAATGTTTGGCTTTACGCTCGTCGTGCTCGCGTTGAGACGGTTCGACGACCAGCCGACGCCGACGCCGACGCCGACACCGACGCCGATACCAACGCCGACACCGACGGTAACGATGTGGAATCTGGATGGCCTGCGGGTGGTTTTTCCGATCATGATTTTCAATTTCGCCGCGCACGTCATGGTGTTCCCGGTGCTTCAGACGAAGCAAGGCATAAAATCGCCGTCTCAGATTGTCGCCGCGGCGGACGACACCATGCTTTCTCTTTTGATGTTTTACGTCGTCACCGGTGTGAGTGGGTACATAGCGTTCGGATCGAACGTGAACGGGAATATATTGCGTAATTTTGGCTCAATCGGCGGATGGCTCGGCGTGTGGGCGCGACTGGTGAAATTTTTATACGGGATATCATTGTGCAGTAGCGTGCCGATGATTTTCAAAAGCATGCGTGCGAGCACGCCGCGACTAATGCGTTACATTTCCATGGTTACAGGGCAGTACTACGAGATCGCTTTCGACGTGATCGTGCTATACGCCTGCGCCCGACTCGCGACCTCCATCCCAAACATCCAGCACGTCATCGGCTTGGTGGGGAGCACGACGTGTTCCATGCTTATGTTCATCCTACCCGGAATAGTTTTCCTCAAAACGTATCCCTCGTCGAGCGGTCATCACTCAGTGCCTAGATCGCCAGTGAGTACGACGCGAAGTATGCATGAATTCACGCTATTAGCCAGGCTTGGGCAGGGAGTGCGAGCGAGCGCACGTGGGATGATTATTTTTGGCATTGTCTTCGCATGGATATGCACAAAGAGTACTTTACAATCGCTGCGCGAAGAAGCGGAAGTCGTAGCAATCATTCAGCGCTTTCTATCCGCTCAAAGTGCTCTCCGTTCGAGAGTGCAAGTTTACGACAGGATTCTCACGGCGGCGACAAAGTTTCGACGAATTGCGCTCGCCGAAAAAACCGTCTCAGCTCTCTCAATATCTGCAAAGTCTACGAAGAGTAGCGTCATGGATGCCGAGTTAAGCGTGACCAGAGCACACGACCAGAGTAGAAACGTGGATTCTATGCTCGACTCAGAGCTTCCTGATCCGTTCTTGAAAAATCAGGACGACGAGTTACTTGAAGCCAAGGAGAAGCTCACGGTGGCTGATGGAACTTTGAAGAACTTGAGCGAGACTTTGCGAGAGGTACGAGAGACGCTGAAGGATATTGATGTCGAGCCAACAAGCAAAGCAAAAGATGGCAGTGCGAAGAAAGACGTTGATACTCGTGATGCTGTCTCCGAAACGTACGAGCACGCACGTGAGGCGGACAAATATCTTGAAGAAGCGCAGCGCACGACGGAACGTTTCACGGAGGACGTAGATGACGACACCCACGTGATGGATTCATTGTCGAGCGTATCCAACGAAGTTGAAGAGACAAGTTCTCGCGTAGACGAGACGCTTGAGACCTTGCGCCAGGCCAAGGCGACAAAGGCCGAGGAAGTGTTACAAGCGGCTGTTGAAGTGGTGGAAGAGACGAACAATGCGGATAATCTTATAGAGAGCTTACGGGACAGATCTGTCGACTCTAGCCAGGAAACGAATGAGTATCTCGTCGAAAAAATTGTCAACGTGTCCGATTCTGTCGCCGAAAAAGAGGCGCAACGCATGGTCGATGCGGTGATGCAAAGCAGCTCAGAATCTGACGAGGCGGTGCGGAAAGCGGGTGAGATTTTGTCTGCGCTCTCCAGTGCTGCGACGTCCTCCGACGAGACCGTACTGAAGAAGTTCGTCAATGCCACGATAAATGGGACCCGTGGATAATGTATGTGTACAATCATTCTTAATACAACAACAGTAGCGATTTCTAGATGCATTTGAAGCGACTCTCATGTGGATTCTCCGACTCCCGTGACTTCAATTGCTTTACCCGCTTGTCTGTAAATTACGACAATACCATCGAGACTGACGCGCCAGTCGACTTCACGCTGGCTATTACTGCAAGCTTTCAAGCGTTGATGATATGATCGAATGTCCCGGCTCAGTACTTGAGTGACAAACGCAATGAACTCGTCGGCACTTTCGTACATCGACGACTTTTCGCGCGCGTGCCAAGCCGCCCGGATTGCCGCCTCGCCAACAGCCGTGAAACTTACCTCGTCCACGGTCAGTGGGCCATCGCCATCTTCCAGGGCGTTTCCTACCCAGTTCGGTGCTCGCGCGCTCGGAATACAATCGCTGTATGGAACGTACGGCTTGATGTCTAATATCGGCGTCCCGTCAACCAAATCCGCCCCCGCCACGTCCAGCGACGTCCCGCGCACGCGAAGGATCTCCACCAAACTGAGACCAATCGGGCAACTGTTACACGGCCGATGAGGCGTTCGCGTCGCCAGACACCCTCGCTTCTCTCCGTTTAGTCTCGGCACGCGTATCTTCGCCCGAGCCGTCGTCCGCCGCTGCCCGCGTCCGCGCCCATCGTCCACGACCTCTCCCACCCCTTTCCTTCCCAGATCCGTGTTCGCGTGAAATACGTAAATCAACCAACAGTGCGTGAACTCCTCTAACCCATCCAGCGCCGCGCCCGAGACCCACTCGCGCTCGAGCTCGACTCGTCCTCGCGCGAGCGGCACGACGTTCCCCTGACGCGGCGTCCCCGTTCGACGATCGAACGCCGACGCGAACGTCCCTATCGGACGCGCGTCGTACGACGCATCGCTCGATCCCGTCCGCGCGTCCTCCCTCGTCCGTCGCGCGCACCTCCGAGCGCGCTCGAGCTCTAACGAGACCTCTCGCAAACGTTTCTCCGCGCGCGTCCGTCCCGCGCGCTCGCTCGCGCGCGCCCGCGCTAGCGCCGTCGCGCGCGTCGACCGCGCGCCCAGGACGTACGCGATCGCGGCGACGACGCACAGCGCGATCGAGGGCGCGACGGCGTCGAACGCGAACCACATCGTCGTCACACACTGCCGCGCGTTCGCGCCATGCGTCGCGCCCTCGCGCGCGTCCTCCACCGAGCGACGACGACGTCGACGACGACGACGTCGACGTCGTGCGCGAGCGCGTCCGCGCGCGCGTTCGCGCCGAGAGCGCCGAGAGCGACGACGATGTGGTCGTCGCCGAGAACGCTCGCGACGAGAAGCGCGTCCACGTCGACGTCGTTCGCGTCGACGCCGTCGCGCGCGGCGTGGACGTCGACGACGACGCCGCGCTCGATCTCGATGCGGTTCAGGACGTACGCGAAGAAGATCGCGGTGAAGAAGGGCACGGGGAAGACGTCGACGAAGATCAAGAGCTACTCGAGCTACAGGTTCAGGTTTAAGATGTCGGGGAGCGGGAGGAAGATCATGCGGAAGCAAAAGGGGAAGCGACACTGCGCGTTCGCGAAGACGCCGAAGCGACGGAGGATGCTGAGGAAGACGACGACGGTGGACGCGACGTTGGTGCAGCCGATGAAAAAGTTGGGGTTCTCGTGAGCGGGCGCGAGCGCACGGCGTCTCAAATATAGTGGTGCGGGTAGATTCTTGTAAGCGATTGTGAAGAATAATCAACGAGTACTTGTGAGTGGGGTATTACACACGAATTCGCGGCGTCTCGAGACGTCGTTCGTCGTTCATCCGCGAAACGCGAGGAGGAGCGCCGGGCGCACGTTGCCGGCGTCCAGAGCCGAGGCGTTGGACGACAACAAATTCGGTTGTTCCACGACGCGCTTGAGCGCTCCCTTGTAAGCGATACCGGTTTCGGCGGTTTGATCGAACAGCGCGGCCTCGAGGTTGAGCGCGGCGCTTCGCGAGAGTCCGTGCTCCTGTTCGAGGTATCTCGCGACGCGAAGACGCGTCGCGTTGTGCGCGGGCTCCTTGGGCACACCGCCGGCGCTCGCCACCTTCACGACGGGTTTCGAAGCGGGTGCCGTCTTCGCGAACGTCTCGGCCAAAATTGAAGGAAGCTTAGACTTCGCAGCCGCCTCAGGTATGGGTTTCTCTTCTACGTCTTCCATCTTGACATCCGCCTCTGGCGCTACCTCTTCCTTCGCCACGACAACCTTTTTCACCTCTTCCACTGGCTTGATCGTCAACAAGTTCACAGCAGACGTGCGAATAAGATCAATCCACTCCGTCGTCACCGCCACGCACGTCTTGGCGAAGTCTACGAGGGACGGATCCTGAACTTTGCTCGCCTTTTTCACCGTCTTGGTGATCAGCGTCTCCTGTAACATCACCGCGTTCACGCTCTGTTCCTGAATGTGTCTCGCCGTTTGCTTCAACCGTCGAACGACGCGATTTGCATGCGAGTTTGCGTGATCGACCTTGGCCTGCGCCGCCTCCATCGCCGTTCTCGCCCGCTCCAACTCCTCTCGCGCGCTCGCGCGTTCACCCTGCGTCTCCTCGTACGCCCTCAATCCGTCTTCCAGCTCCGCCTTCAGCTCTAACAACTTCGACGTGCTCGACGGCACCTTGATCACCGGCTTTTCGATCTCCTTCCCCCGCGCTCTACCCACCGTCGGCTTCTTTCCCTTCTTTTCCTCCGCCGGCTCCTCCGCCGGCGTCTCGGCCTCCGCCGCGTCCGCCTTCTTGCTCAGCTTTCGCTTCTTCTCCACCGGTTTCGCCCCAGCCTCCGTCTCCGCCTCAGCCCCGTTCACGCGCGCGTCGTTCGTCGCCTTCTTCTCCACGTCGTCGTCGTCGTCGTCGTCCTTCTTCTTCTCCACCGCTGTTTCCTCGTCCGCGATCTTTTTCCGTCGCCCTCCGCGCTTACGCGTCGCCACGACGTCCTCGTCCGACGCCTCCGCGGCATCCTTCGTCTTCGCCATCGTCGCCTCGGTCGCCTTCGCCGCCGCGCCGCGCGACGACGCCGGACGTTTCCTCGGCGGCATCGCGGTGCGTCAGTGACTGGCACGCATGCCGCTCCGAGCGCTCTCCTTTGAGCGCTCGAGCGTTCGTGAGCTCGCGCGATGCCGCGCGGTGTTCGCGTCGACCCGCTCGACCGCGTCGAGCGTCGATGCGGACGCCGAGGCGCCGGTGACGAGCGATGCGCGCGGGGTGAAACCGAACGCGAGTGAAATATTAGAAAAAGCGCGCGCGGCGCGACGTACGCGCGATGCGCGCGTGACCGCGAGCGCGCGGGGACGGAGGCAGCCGTTTGACGTCGATCGACCGCTTCGGGGAGGCGGCGCGTGGGGTTCGGGTGGGGCGTTCGCGTACGGCGGCGAAAGAGTGAGCGCGCGGACGAGCGCCGAGCTCAACCGAGAGATCATGGACGCGCAGTACCCCGAGGAGATCTTGGAACACGTGCGAGTGCGGTCGCATTTATACAACAGAGTGAACTGCGCCACGGCGTGGCATCGATTGGGACGAACGTCGAGGGTGAACGGGCGGCCGCGCGGGTGGACGTCGGACGAGCGCGTGGCGGAGCTGGAGGCGACTACTCGGCGCTTGATGTCGACGTTTGCGGTGCAGAATCTGACCAACATCGCGTGGGCGTGCGCGGTGTTGAAATATAAGCCGCGGGATGATTTGTTGGGATCGATCGCGGCGCGCATGGGGGAAATGGTTGCGGAATTTTACCCGCAGGCGCTGTCGAACGCGCTGTGGGCGTACACGGTGCTCAAGCATCCGCGCGCATTCGCCCTGGCCGAAGCCTTGAAGCCGGCAATATTGGCTACTTTGCCCGAAAACCCAGATGATGAGTTGAAGCAGGCCGAGAGCGCCAAGGATGGGGTTTTCAGCACACAGACGGTGTCGAACGTGTTGTGGACGTATGCGACGTTGGGAGTGCATCCTGGAGTCGAATTGTTAGACCGCCTGGCGGCTTTTATCCTCAAGAGCGCAGGAAGTTTTAAGGCACAGGAGTTGTCCAACTCGTGCTGGTCGTACGCTCGCTTCGGACATTATCCAGGCGATGAGGTGTTACAAACTTTCGAGCGATGTCTTCTGGAACGAAGAGAAGAGTACACTACGCAGGCGTTGGCAAACACATCCGTCGGGTTGTCGTATTTCGGAGGATCGGGAGAAGGAGGCCTGAGAAAACTCTTCGACGACATCCCTCCTTCGTGGTTTCGACTCCGCGAAGGGAACTCTCAGGACATCTCCAATATCGTATGGGCGATCGCTTCTGTGGGCGCGTTCGAGTCCCAGGTGTATAAAGCCGCGGTGCGTGAACTGTTTCGCCGCGATGTGACCGATTTCCAAGACGAGGGACTTAAGGCGTTGTTCCACGCCCGTTTGATGCAGCACGACTTCGCTCCCGACAAAGATGAGGTCGATGTCGTCTACCCTGACTGGGTCGCGGATAAAGGTCTCAAGCCGTGGCTCGAACAAGCCGAGGATACTCGAGTGAGCACGTTTCAGCAAAATGTAACTGACGCGGTGAAGCGAGCTGGATACGAACCAACCATGGAGGCGCTCACGGAGGATGGACTGCTGAGTATGGATATTTGCCTGAACGATAAGAAATTGGCTATAGAGTGCGATGGACCAACGCATTTCTACTCGAACGCGCCCGAGAAGATGACGCAAAAGACGTTAATTCGTAATCGCCATCTCGAGGTGCGCGGATGGAAGGTTATCATGATCCCATATTACGAATGGCGCGAGGTATACGTTGCCGGCGACCTCGAAACGAAGGCGTACGTTACGAAGAAAATACGCGAGACGCTGTAGACGCTTAGATGATATTGTAGGTGCAGTAGACAAGTATTACTAAATTCATCAATCAATGTTGTTGGTAAGCTCCAACCTTTCTGGCTTCACATTTTCAGCGAGGCCGTTCAGTTTAGCGTGCACACTGCTTCTAACTTTCTGCTCAGAGTCCCACGCTATCATGCGTCTCTTCTTGAGAGGGAGCATCGACGTGGGTGTTCCAGAAAGCTTGGCTTTCTCGGCTGTGGGCGGTGTCGGCGGCGTCGTTGTGCCAGTAGCTGTACCGGTCGCCTTCTCCATCTGAGCCCTTTGTCCCGTAGTTCTCTTCTGTTCAACCTTCACTTTGGATTCAGGTGCATTCTTCAGTTTTGCGTTTACAGCAGAAGATTTCGGTCGTCTCTGCCGCGGATTGGCTCGGTACGCCGACATTTCCTCTTCGTTCTTCTCGCGCGCGTCATCTACGGCTTTGGCTAGCACCCGCAAGATTTCGTCTACTTTTTCAGGATCCACGATACCAGACGCCTTACCACCGAAGTCACCGCACGCCTTGCACGTCGTGGTTTCGGTGCCGCCAGCTGAGCCGCGAGCGCTCGCGTTGGAAGCCTTTTGAGAATTGTTGAAACTCTTCATGCAGCTCAAGTGTGCGATAGCACCGCCACCGCGGCACGCACATGCGCGTACCATCGGGGCGTAATCACCATCACAATCTTCGCAACCGCACAGGCAGCAAACGACGATGCGTTCGTTTTGAAGAATAGAGACAACATCGTCAACGGTGCCGAAATGGTTGCCTTGTATCTCGTCCTCCAAAGGCAAACGCGCATGCTTCTTTTCTTCACTCGCAAAGTCGAGCACGACCACCGACTTTTCGTCGCGCCGAACGCAACGTGAGCACATATAATCCTTCGGAATCTCTTCTTCCGCGTGAATGTCGCAGCAAGGGCCGTGTTCCCACACCCCACACGTTTCGCACGCAACCATGAAACCATACTCTTCGTTGTCGCCGCATGCGCAATCGATGACGTCATCTCCCATGATTCCACTGTACGCGTAATGATGCTTTTTAGCGCGCGTCGTCGAGCTCCCAAGACCTGCCTTCTTCGGCCCATCCGTGCACTTTGATCCGAGAACCCACGCGTCGAACGTCGCCGTGGTGGTGAACTCCGCCGCCTTGGTCCTCGCCGCGGCTTCTCCGCTCTCGTCGATGCGGAAGCACATCGTTCTCGTCCCCTCGACGTCATCACCCCCCCCCCCTCCGTTCGCGCTCGCGCGCGCGATGACGGTCCAACACTCCGCGCCCGTGCGCTCGTTTCTTCGTCTCGCCACGCACGCGTCCGTCCCTCGTCTCCGCGCCCGCGTCCCCTCCGAGTCATCCCTCTCCAGCGCTCGCACCACCGCTCGCGCGAACACCGCCGTGTTCGCGCACGCGTTTACACGCGTTTCCATCCTCCCTCCCTCCCTCGCATCGCCGTCGTCCGTCGACGCGCGCGCCGGGCGATTCGCCTCGCCGCGCCCGCGTCCCCGCCGCGCCTTTCGCCCCGCCGCCTCGATCGCTCGCGCGCTCGTTCGCCCGCGCGCGACGTCCACGCCCGCGCGATGGACGTCCTCGTCGCCCGCGTCGGTCGCCATCGCGTCCACGGTCGTCGTCGTCGTCGTCGTCGTCGTCGTTCGCGTCCGCGGGGCTTTTCGCCGAAGCGCTCGAATCACCCGTCGACGCGCCCGCGCGACGCCGTCGTTCGCCCGCGATGGCGCGCACGACG